TGCATCTTCCATCTGACCACGCAAACAATAACCATCAAGTAAAGCATTGTAAGTAATGATGTCAGGAGCTACACCTTTGTCAGTCATGAGTCTTAAAATCAACCAACGTGTTGTAAAAGCATTCAAGCATTACCATCTTTACAAAACATGTCAACCAACGTGTTGTAGGTCGCAACATTAGGTGCTGTATTGCTCTTTAACATCTCAGTCAATACACCCTTAGCCTCTTCCCTGCATCCAGAATTGTAAAAGCCTCGAATTAAGGAGTTATAAGTGACAACATTAGGTTGAATGCCATCGGTTTTCATAGCGGAGAACAGGTCCATAGCTTGTTGTAATAACCTGTCCTTACAGAGACTATCAATAATAGTGTTATATATGACAAGACCAGGCTTACAATGAGCAGCAGACTGCATTTTCTTAAGCAAAGTGAGAGCACTGGCATTGTCGCCAATACTACAAAGGCCTTTGAAAATAGCACCATATGTAACAATAGTGGGTTGGAAACCCAACTTCAGAATCTTATTCAGCAGCTGAGTAGCTAGGGGGAGCTTACCACAGTGGACATAGCCGTTAATTAAGGTGTTAAAGATAACACAATCAGGGGGATAACCAAGTTTAAGCCTTTTGCCGAGAAGAGAAAACCCGATATCGATACCGCCCAAATGGCAGTAAGAATTGGCAAGAATACCAATAGAATGCATATCAGGTCGAACACCCAGTAATTCAAGGTGCCTGGAAAGAGAGATAATGGTGGAATGAGGATGAAGCCATTTCAATTTGGAAATGGCAGTGAAGAGCTGATTGAAAACGATAACAGAAGGAAGAGGACGCAAAGAAGTCAATTGATGGAAGAGAGATTGTGGAAGTTTAAGATCGGAAAACCCTAATTTGCATTGTTCTCTAACAGAATTGAGAATTAAATTACGGTCATCAATTGCAACAATTCTTTCACTGGAAAAATGGCAACAATTTCGAAAATGAAAAGGAAAGGAGGAAGAAATTATGGGAAAAAGAGAGGTACCGCCATTAAAACGCAGAGCTTGAAACTTCATCTTTGAGTTTTCGTCTCAGCAATGAAGCAGAGTGAAGATGTTGCTGCTACTACTTGCCTAATTCTGTAATTCCCAAATTCTCGGGGAAGAAAGATGGAAATTGAAGGTTGACACTGACAATGTTCTGGGAAAGCCTTCAACATACAATGTATTCCATAAAACTTTGAACGAAGTATATGGAAAACTAATTTGCAGTATTTAACTAGTTATAAATTTTGTAAAATGCTTTCTTTTTTTTTTTTTTTTTTTGTGTGTGTGTGTGAAAGGTTATCGTAAAATCTCAAACATAAATTTTAAAGGTAAATTTAACGAGAATAATCCAATCTTTGCTCGATTCTCCCAAAATAATCCAACCTTTCGATTATTCTTGAATAATACAACCTTTAGGGGGTATTATATTTTAACGAACCTAAATGACCGGTTACCTAAAGATCGGGTAATTTTAATTTTTTTCCCTTTTTTTTAAAGCCCACCAGTCTTTTATCTCTCTTCCCCCATGACCACTTCTTTCTCTCTCTTCCTCCATGACTACCTCTCTTCCCCTTCTATGACCACCTTTCTTCCTCCTTCATCAAGATAATCAAACACAAACTTCTTCCTATCAACCAAACTAGAGGGTGACACTTCGCGAAACCACTAACCTTACCCCCACCCATACCCTGAAACCCCAACCCCACCTACCCAACGCCGAAATCCCAGCCCTAACCCCACCTACCCAATGCGGCGCGCAATCGTGAGTTGGTTGTTTGTTGAGGGTGTGGGTTGGTTGATGGTGGTGCAGAGGTGGGATAGTGGGTTGGGGTTTGTGCGTTGGTTGATTTTCGTCACGGGAACACAGAAGGTGGGACAGTGGGAATTTCTGGGTTGGTTGATGGTGGTGCGGAGGTGGAACGGTGGGGTGTTACTACGGATTTTGGTGATGGTAAATCGACAGTGGGGCATTGGTGGTGCATGATGTAGTGCTGTGGGGTTGTGGCGATGCGGATGATGGTGGATTGACGGTGGGGTTGATAGTGGGAAGCTAAGGGTGGTTGGAGGTTTGTGGTGGCTAAAGGTGTTGGTGGTGGTGCTGGATAGAGGTATTGTTATTGGTGGGTAAGTTAAAAGGGAGGTGAAGTGGTAATGAAGGGAAAGGAGAAGGAGAGAGATAAAGGGATGGTGGTGGTTGGTGGGTCTGGTGACTAATGACTATGGTGGTAATGGGGAAGGGGGAGAAAGAAGAAGAAGATGATGGTGGGGTATTTTTTTAAAAAATTTTTTTAACAACTCAAAATTAAAAATAAAAGGTAAATTATTAAAAAAAAAAAAAGCAAAAAACTAATCATGAGGTGCCACGTCAGCATTCTAACCGGTTGTAATGGTCAGTGACCTGTAAGGGTTGTGAGAAAAAGGGGTACAAAGGTTGGATTAATGAGAAGTAATCAAAAGGTGGGATTAATATGGGAGAGCGGACAAAAGGTTGGATTATTCCTGTTAAATTTTCCAATTTAAAATACAAACAGAGGTAGTATGGGCTATTTGAACTCTACAGTCCCTCGTGTAGGGTGCAGTTCTTTTTCTCTCGTCTAGGGTTTAGTGCTGTGGGGTTTTCCAATCAATTTCTTCCAAATTTTGCCTTGTTTTTTCCACAATCTGATCTCACCGAGGGTTCTGTCATGCTTGCTGATTATGGATGACAATCTAATGAAGGAATGGGAGCGTTTGAAGTTGACTGATGAGGAGAATTTTGTGTTTGGACAATCGAATGTTGCTTCGATCGGGGAGGGGTCGAACTAAAAAATTGCCCTGTCTTTGGTGGGAAAATTACTCACTAGGAAACCTTTTAATGTTGAAGCCATGAAACGGGTGCTAAAGAATTTGTGGCGAATTGATGAGAACATTGCGATCCGTAACGTGAATACAAACCTGTTTATTTTTCAATTCTTCAATATTGAAGATAGGAGAAAGGTGCTGGAGGGTAGGCCATGGGTTTTTGACAATCAAGTTCTGCTATTGAAGGAGATTTGTGTCGATGAACAACCTTCGGATGTTGTATTTGATTCATGTCGTTTCTGGATTAGGCTTATTGATGTACCTTTTGGTATGCGTTCGATTCAGTTTGCTCATGATATTAGGGACTGTATTGGAGAATGCGTGGAGGTAGATGAGTCTGATCCTCTCTGTTAGGAGGAATATATGAGGGTTAAAGTAATGGTGGATATCACTAAGCCTCTCTATAGGGGAATGAAAGTTGTTGTGGAGTCTGGAAGTACCAAATGGGTAGGGTTTAAGTACGAGAGACTTGGGGATTTTTGCTATTATTATGGTCGAATTGGTCACACAGATAAGGATTGTGAACACCCAATAATAACTCGCAACCGTCTCATCCTTGATGACTGCATAACCAATCAGAAAGTTATGGTTCGTTGGAGCCATCCCAATCATCTCAACCAGTGGGAACTTGTACTTGTTTGTCTTGTATGTTGAATCGATCAAAATCACGGATGGCCAAGACTTGATCATATCAGCACAATCAGGATGCACAAGGAATAAATGAGTCACCTCCGATGTCTCTTCATCAGAATTAAACCTGAACATGTAACCACGTGCTTGTGCCTGGTGTAGAAGCTGCTGAATAGGGTTCCTTCCCTCTGACCGTTCAAACCTCAGTTTCTGTCTGACGTTGAAGATGTGTCTTCGGTTTGGCTGGTCTTCAGGAAATTTCTCTAACACAAATGCTAATATTTTAGCAAGCTTCACTTGAGCATCACTCATTTTTTTGACAACTAGTTTTGCAGCAGGACTTAGGCTGCTTAATTGTCGATGACCCACTTCATATACTATCATCTCATGGTTGTGATACCCCCATTTAGAGTAACCCTTCACTTCCCAACCGTAACGACTTTGGTGTTGCCGAACCTTTACTCTGAACTCACACCCACAACCTTTCCGCTTTGTATCAAACCGAATTGCTGTACGCAAATTTCGTTCCTCCCTTTTGCAATAATGGTCGCATCTCAAAATGCAATCCATTCTACCACCCCGCTGAGATTTATGAGATGCGACTGCTAAACAAAAACCAGATCTAATTGCAACCTGTTTTGCCCAATCAATCGCTTGTTGAACATCTTCGAAGGGACCATCATGTACAAAAATCCCACTGTAATCAACACCGTCTCCACCAAAATCCTACAACAATTAAATAATTTTAAATACATAGAATTATATAAAGATTAAATTAATACATTTAACACAAAATTAACACATAAGTAATTTCTAAAATTTTTATTTGTAAATTTCATTTCTATATTTAACGCATAATACATTTAATTTCTAAATTTACACAAAATTAACAAATAATTATGTATAAAAGTATTCGTACATATACAAAATTAACACATAATTATGTATAAAAGTATTCATACAAATACAAAATTAAAACATAATTTTAAATTTTTTTATTGAAATTATGAACACATATTTAATTTACACATACAAAATTAAACAATAATTTTATTAATACATATTTAAAACATAATTTCAAATTAAAACATAATTTTATGGTTTTTTTTTTTTTGAAATTATTAACACATATTTAATTTCAAATTTATCAAAGTTAAAAAACCACAAAAAAAAAACTTTTAAATTTTTTTTTTCGAAATGTAGCGGTGGCGGCGGTCAGGCCATCCGCCGGCCAGCATTTTGTAACTTCAAAATGCAAGGTACCTCACTTTCCGACGACGATAACGGCTCTTCGATGTCCCTCGCCTCTCCGGCATCCCTCGACAATCCAGTCCGGCTCCACATTTTTCGAGAGAGAATAACGTTTTAATAAAAGTTAGAAAAAGACAAAAGTGTCAAACTAAAAATAATTATGGGCTTTATGTAGAAATTTGTGGGTCATGTTTAAACACTCACGTCAAGGGTCACTAAATGAAAAACCATTAACCATCTTTTTATTATTGTTTCTTCATTTAGTCTACATTGCCACTCCCTCAGGAGTCAGGACAGTGCAGAGGAGAGAGAAAATGACGGTAGGGAAATACTACTGCGATTACTGCGACAAGGAATTCAAAGATACAGCGTCGGCAAGAAGGCGTCATCTTCAAGGTATTGCGCATCACCGCAATCGCAAACTTTGGTACGATTCTCTCTCTCTTCCCCAAGGTACAATCTTTCCCCTCTAATCCTCTCTCTTAAACCCTCTTATTCTTCTTCTTCGTCTAATTTTTCGCCATTTTTCTTTTAATTTCTCGGATTTACAGACCCTAATTTCACACAACAGAGTTTTGGTAATGGAGTCTGCAACCGCTTCCTCAGAACGGTACGCCCTCTTTCATAAATTATCTTTCGAAATTATCTAGTGTTTTTTGCAGTGTTTGAGGTATAATTTGTTAGCTTAATTATCCTTTTTTTTTTTTGCAATTATTGCTACAATTGTAATGTTGTATTGAGTTGTATTATTAATTGGGTTAAAATATTTGAGTGTTGTAGTTCTGGTTTATCTTAGGAATTCAGCAGGACAAATTAATTGATTAATTAGTGTTGGAGAGACTCAGTGTATGCTGTAGCATACACGGGGGTAGTATTTTTTTATTCGTAAGGTGTTTTGAGTCGAGCAATGTAGTTTTCTGCTCTCGAAAGAGTGAAGAATTCTATGTACTGCATTTGATGTTATAATGATGTTTTTGTAATTAGTTGGCGTAGTCTGTAATTCCGTTTAGAGTATTAACAATTTTGAAGAATTATCCCAATGCTTCGCTTGGGGGAGTCAGTGTTTTGTTAGCCTGTGCTACTGTGCTTTCTTTGGTAGGGGGCGGGGGGGGGGGGGGGGGGCGGGTATTGTCCACCTACAATTTCTGAGCTTTGATTGAATACTAAAATTATTATTTCGGAACACGTTTTCTGCAATAAAACGTTGAGAAGTTTATTTCATGAGATGTTCTACTCTCACTCTTAAGGTTCAGCTTATAGGTGATGGCTTTTCCTCTTTAGTCACTAAAAATATTATATTGTGTGGTGGAAGTGGTTTTTAATATCTGTATCCAATTTGAGTTTGATTTGATTGCTCTTAACTCTTATTTTAAATTTCAAGGGTTTTTGCCCATACGGAGATTCTTGCAAATACCATCATCCCAAGCATAACTTGCAAGGTCCAATAACTCAGGGTCAGGGAACGCCTAGTAAGTTCTTTTTGCCATATCTTTCTTCTGGTTCTTTTTTTTTTTTCCCTTTTTTTTTTTTTTTTTTTTTTTTTTTTTTTTTTTTTTTCTTTGTACTTTTTTTTGGTTGTCCTTCAAGAACTTTATAATTATCGCAACTTCTTAGAAGTTTTGGAGTTATCTAGAAGTATTAAATTTGGATTCTTGAAAATTTTCTGACTTGTTACTAGTCAGATTTATGTATATGTCCATTCAAGAAGGAAGATGTGCTAACAACATTTGGATGGCGTTATAAATTGGAGATTTAGAGCTTTAACCCTAGGTGCCAAATTCTTGTGAGATAGTTGGTGATGGTTATTTTCTCTATTTTGCGGCAAGTATGAATAGTCTCCCTCCCTAATACTCTGTACAACAAAATGGTGACAGGTTTTGCTGAAAATTTGCAACCGCATGTAGGAGGATTACAAGGTACAGTGAAGCTTTACTGCTGTGAAAATATTTTTGTATACTGTCAACCACTATCTGTCTGGCATAAAAAGCTCAGCAATTAGCTCTTTGTGGCTAAGCCAATCTCCCTAAGCTTTCTAGTTATACTCGTGAACTCATGAACTATATGTTAGCATTGCTTATATTTTGTTACATGCAGGACATGTTGCTAGCCAAAGCTTTGGGATGTCATTGGGGAATTTACCTCCATCATTGAGGCCTCCTCCTGAAGGAGGATATCCACCGCTACCATTTGTTGATTGGGAATGAGCCGTGAGTGTTTTGTAAGGAATTGTTTTTGTTTTTGCTAATTGTTGTGAAGCCTGTTCTGCATCGTGGAGGTTGTTGTGATGATAATAGAGAACTACAGGTGTGGAATAATACTTGTAATATTCTCTCTGAAAGAGAATTAAATTCAACTAATTATATATCTAACAAGACAAAATTATTTTCTCACCTTTTAGAGAATAGTAATTCTTATCACTTCTGCATGCCCTATATTAATCCTTGATGAAAGGGTCTATCAACTTCCCATAATGCATAATCCTATGTAGATAGAGATTTGGCATAGTAGTTACAGTAGTGGAAGAACTGATACCCATGTAAATCTATGAGAATATCAACCAACAAATCTATCCTACCACCATTGTGGATTATTAAAACGAACAAGTTTCTCCAATAAACCCAATAAGAGAGGGAAGAACTCTCATAGATGAAGATACAGTTATCAGAATAAAATAAATTTGCTAAGTCTAATTAAAAACAAGGAAATTTGGGGCTTACCCACTGGCAAATGACAATGGCCTTCCTACAGTTAGCTACGATGGATGTTAGGGTTTTGGAGGGTATAAAGGAGAGAAAGAGGGAGAGCAGTAATTGTAAGAACTTCGATCCACCTAGCTCTGAGAAGGATTGGGGTCTGGCGGTCTGCTGATATCAGATAAACATATTGAGCTTTTTGAAGTCCTAGCCTCAAATTAGATGGCTGTAATAACTACATCTTTATAGACAAATGTAGGTAATGTAGGTCCTTCAAGTTTGGCATTTAAATGCCCTATTCTCAGCCTAGCTAATGTGTGTGTGTTTCTAATGAATAATCAAATGGAAATAACTAGGCCAAAGGCTAGCCCAGGTAGCTGTCCCATGGATCGGTGGATATGCCATTAGTACCGTGGACAAGGCAAGGGAAAGTGTTACAGTTTGGTCGCTTCAAGGAGGCTGCACTTTGTGTTATCTTTGAGAGCGTTTTGAATGGCTGGTAGAAAATGTAGACTCAAAATCGCCTTTGAGTTTAGAAAATCCATTTTGCAACATATAACCTGTGTTTGTTAGACTCTTTTGGTGGCTCGTGGTGATCTTAATAGATTAGGATGTATGTCTTTCTAGATCTTTCAATGGATTTTTGGGAATATAGATGGCATTACTCTACCTCAGCTGACTCTAGCAAAGACATATTTTATTTTTTTATTTTTCCAGGAGATTATTGAGACAATTGTGGGGAGCCTTGGAAAAAACTGGACTGAAGGGTTTTTTTTGCTCTTAAGCTACCTTCTGGGCTTGATTTGAATTGATATTCTATATGTATGACAGAGGACTATACTTTCCTTTGGTAGGTATTTTTGAAAGCTTAAATTCAAGTCTGTTGTATATTTCTTGTAGTGGATGATGGGTGAATCAAAGACTTATGGAAACCTCATTGAACTACCCTACTCTGGTAGCATAGATGACTTAATACTGAAATTAGTTAACCATGGAAATAACATAAACACAATCTTAGGAATTCTCCTGTGGGATATCTTGAATGTAATGAAGCTATAGTGATAGACTCCCAAGCAGCCTGTTTATGTTGCTAAAGATATTAAGAACTGTATATGACTAGTGGGATTCTTGACAAAGCTCGGAGGGAAATTGTCTATTGTACCAAGAGGTATCTTAAATCTAGACTCCGAAGCATCCTCCAAATGAAACTAGCCTCCTTTAGTCCTTGGGTGCTTAAAAGTTACTGTATACTTAAATGGTGGCATCTTAAGCTTTGTTGTTTACAATCAAACCTGATGCCCTTAAAATCCATTTATCCTGCAGCAAATTGTAAGCATTTCAGTATCTTACTCAGTTTGCACTGGAAATTTTATTCAATTATGAACATTACCTTTAACATACGAAGAATGTGACACATCTTTGTTCTGTTGCATTTTTTTCATTGGAAATCCCCTCATGTTTATTACTACCGCCGTTTCATATTATTTGCAACGATTAGACATTTTCTACTCATGCTTTATGTCAAATCGTTGCAAATAATATAAAACGGAGGTAGTATAGTACACTTAGAGGGTGTAGTCGGGTTGTTCGGGTAGGGTTCTTATCGAGTCAATTCAGGTCATTTTTTGGTAAGACTCGTTCGGGTTGATTTTGGGTCTATTCGGCTCATTTTCGTTTCTATTGTTAATATGTCTATTTTAATATTATATAGTCAATATTAATTGTCAGGTCAGTTTTGGTCGGGGGGTCAAAATTGTGATTTCAGGTAGCGTTTGGGTTTCGGGTAAGGTAATTGGGTATGGACCGTATGGTTCAATTTTGCTGGGTGTATGTTACAAAGTAATTATGTTTTGTATAATTTGACATTCAGCACAAATCCAATATGGAAAGAACCATTTGCTCAGAAGAGGTCGAAATGGAGAGGCATAACCGTGTTGAGCATGCTAGTGAAAGAAGCTGTTTGCAATTTGATGGCAACTGAATGAACCCACAGAGATAGAGACTTGGAAGAAAAGAGGTTAGGGGGACTATCCTATAGACTAGCTCATCTTTTCTGGCTATTCCTTCTATCAGTGGTTTACATGCCCATACTATCATCTCTTCTTGTACAATAGGTTATATCTTGTGTACATCCCATGCCCCTGCAGCCCTGCACACCCTTTGCCATATCGGTGTGGTTTCGTGCTATGTATTATATGTTATGTAGACCGTGGCCTATACGTGTTTGTTTCTAACAATTTCATGTATGCCATGTGGGTTTTCATGCTGAACTCCTATTAATTTTTTAAATCTAGTGCTTGAAATAATGTAAATTGGTGGCAGAATTATGTTCCATGTTATATGCTACCGTTCAGGGTTTCTCATTCACTTCCTTTTAAAATGTGCACTTTTTATTTATTTATTCTACTATAAGCTATTGAACTTGAGTACTTTTAATCATCATTTAGGAAAAATATTTACAAAAATACAAAGTATGTTAATTTGACAATATATACAAGTATATATATAAATCATAAAATATGGTGAAAGAATGAGTGAATAGGGTAAAAAGCATGAATGGGGCAAGTATTAAAGAATGGAGGAAGTATAAGTTATGCTATTTTTCTGTAGAATGAGTTGTATATCATTTGAAATTTTACTGTATATCTAGTTTTTATTTTGCTATTTTGTAGAAGTACTTTTTTTTTTTTGAAGGGATTTTGTACAAGTACTTGGGATAGCGTCAATATATGTTTTCACTATGAATTATTTGAACGATCTTCATAATTCATACTGTAATACAACTAGCTAGTTGTAACAAGATACAACATTCAACATTTTTTTTTGGCCAATTTGTGTACAAGCGCATTGGCAAAGATATAATATTGAATGTACCATACGCAAGATATATGTCATACAACGGATTGTATCTAGAAAATTGACCACATATTCTGCTTTTTAACTCATTCAAGTCGCTAATATTATCATAACCTACTATTCAACATAATTATTATGTGAAGAATATGGTTCAATCTTGTTTTCTTGTGTGACTTGTTTATGTGCAATAGATTAAACCAACACTTTATTTAAATAAGTGGGTACAGTTGTTTTAGCATATGTGGGTATGATCTCAATTTTCTAGCATAAGTAGTGGGTATGAATGTATGATCTCATATACGAAGTATATACATTTTCCATTCAATTCAATATATATTTTTCTATTCAGTTCAATTTTCATTTTTCTATATATCCTTTGACACCTTTTTTGGTCAATTATCTCTAATTCATTTGCTAATGTGTACTTGAATATAAGCCGGATAGAGATATGTTTTAGAGCAACAAAATAATAACGAGAATATCAGGCAAGAGTGCAAATTGTTACTAAGGTATAAAAATTGTTGTAATCATAATATTGTTTGATAATTTTTTACTGCGTATTTTAGAAGTATGAACTTTAATTAATTATTTATTTTTTATTTATTTATTTATTTATTTATTTATTTATTTTCCATTAGATGTATAATGAAAATAGTTAATGTCTGTGTCAAAAAAAAAAAAAGAAAAGAAAATAGTTAATGTCTATGTTGTGGATTGACAAACAAAGTAAAACTGTTGTAATTGACGACAGTTCAATATCGAAGTTTCTAGTACCATTTTAAAAAATAACAAATAACTAATAACAATCTAATAATCATTTTGATTTTTTTTATCCCGACTAATTTTCTTCAAAACTTAAACTCATCCATTGTTTACTAATTCCTTCACTATTTGAGTTACATAATAATTGTATTAGTATTGTATTAAGATCAATTAGATCATGTGATATTCAATTAACTAAGCTGTAAAGTGTAAATTTTTAAATATAAATATTATATCAGATACTCTACGCTTGATATGAAAATTCCATACTACCCAACTCATACTTAAGCCCACATTGAACTACAAATTCTTCGGAATTATAATGTGCATCATGCTTTCGATCAAAGATTTGATTATAGCTAAACCTCCATATAAGTCTTAAGGTGGAAAGTGCTTATTCTACATTTCTACCAAACCAAAAAAAAAAAAAAACAAAAAAGGGTAAAAGATAGAATAGTGCAAATCATCCTTGGAGTCGGCGCCACTGCCAGAGTGAAAGTAAGTTGGGTCTGCCATGCCTAATGCCACCACCCCCGCCCACAGCCCACTTCTATCCCACTTGTTTTGTCTTCCAAAATTTGTACTTGCTTACCTTGCTTCAAAATTGTATATTATCCATTATAAAATAAACGTTTTTTATTTTTTTAATTTCTACCCACTTTTAGTGTCCACTTTTAAGTTAAAAGTCTCTAAATATCATTAATTAATGTTTGATTTAAGACAAAAAGACTTTCTAACTAGTTAAGAGCCCCTTGACCAAAGTGTATTGAATATTGACCTCATATTTTGTGTTAACTTACCCTTTAATCACTTATACTATTGGTTAGAGGATCAAGAAGTATATTCTAGCTACTTAACTAACATTTTCTTTTAGCTACTCAAGTTCCAACTTCCGATTACATGGTGGACCACATTTGCATCTATTTCTTTTTTTTGACGAGCACATTTGCATCTATTTCAAATATGGGTTTCTAATGTATTTTTATATTTTGACATTGTCTTCACCATAAATTAGTCTAAAGAGCTCACAAATACAACCATAAGCTTAGGTAATTATTCAAAACTCGATCTTACCCATTCGAAGTTAATAACGCTCTACTAACTTTTACAAAACGCTCATACTCATACTCCCTTTGTTTTTTTTTTTTTTTTTTTTTGATTTTTTTTTAAATGCATCAGTTTGACCGACATATTTGTCGAGACGTAACTTTGATCATTAATATCTTTAATTGTTTATTAGTAAAAATTGTAACAAAATTAAATTATGAAAATAGACATTCTGATGAATCTAATTATATATTGTATCATAGCATTTATTTATTTTCTAATCACAAAAAAAAAAAAAAAAAAAAAAAAAAATTAAGTCAAACATGACATGTAAATAGTGCAAAAATCAAACTGATGCATTTAAATATGTACCAATTGAGTTTAATAACCCCTTAATCCCTAATAAAGAAGAACCCTAAACTAAACGAAGTTTGATAAACACATATAGTATTAAAAACCTCTTTCCCCTCCCCCTACTTGCAAGGAACTTCTTCTTATCAAAAAAAATCAAGATACACTACACGACGACAAAGTTTGAAGTCAATCATTCCTTTGTTAGTGTATTCGAAAGCTTATGAGTACAATGTCATTGCCTTTCAATTATTGTAGTTTGAACTTAATCAATCCTGACTTTATTTGGGATATACTCTATAACTAGCTTTGAACTCGATGCATAGAGCCAATAGGGTTTTGAAAAGGAAGAATATACTGTTGTGAGTTGTGATATCATTATTTGTAACATTCTTTCCAATTATCCTACCTAAATTTGTTTATTTTGAAGTATATTTCAAGTTCTTTTCAATTGTATGAAGTTTATATACTTTGCATTATGTAAAAAAAGATTATGCTTAAATGCTTAATTTACGTAATTTTTCAAGGAGAATTTACATATTATAACCATCTCTAGTCATTAAGTCATTTATTGAAAAATCATAAGCTACATGTATTTGTTTTAATAAATTAATAATCTACACTATGTATACTTCGTATTATTTTTCCAAATAAAATCTATATATATACGAAGTATCTGCTGTATTTATTTGTTAAACTCTTCTTTAAAAAATGGCATGACAATTAAGAGCATTTTCAATGTTACATAACACAAATTTTTGTTATTTGAGACTTTGATTGAGTATTTTCAATATTTTTTATTTTTAATTTAACGGAATGTTGCAAATGACAACACAATGTAGATCATTGGGATAAAATTGATCTACTTTCTAACAATTTACTACACCAACTAAGAGCTAACCAAGCAATTTAATTGCGATTAAACAAGACATCAAAAATATCTAAATCAAAAGCGATAACTTCATGGTTATCAACTAAATGAATTAAGGGTTTATATGTATGTGGCCTGAATTGTGACAAATTGATCATACATAATTTTGCAGAAATCACTTTGTTGTCAACAATTATGAATATTTATTGTAGTGTTTCTCAACACATCTATCAGTGAGACAAATCGGGTACGTATATATAGCTGACTAGCTAGCTAATGTTGGATAGCTATTTCATTAGTATTAGTATGGGGGTCTTGTTTCTAGCACATTAGAAATTCCCCTTACATCGTGAGGAAGGTCTCGTTTTCTTACTTTTATATGGAGTAATAACTAAGAACTAACACCCAAGCCAGTTGGTTTTCAGTGAAACACCTTTCTATCCTAGCACGTTTAAGATAGAACTACAGTACATGAATAATAATAGAAAAAATACGACTTTAAACTTGGATATACGATCATCATCCTTCTCCAAACACACTCACCCCTGCAAATTTTAGTTGTCATGGTCGGTTCATGAATCATCCTCATTTCTCATTCTTTTTTTATACAAACTATATAGTATAATTAATATAAACTATACTAGTATAAAGACTTTAAACCGCCCTATCTATAACACATTGGTGTTCCACTATAACTCTAATTAAATCCCACTCAAAAAAATAAACACTTTTTTGACAATATATATATCCTCTATCTATTTGATGATTTCTACCAACTTGCATACTACTCGTGCTCCTACTTGTTTAAATCATACATACACAAAAAAACCTCTCAAACTTTCAACTTTCTTTTTTACTTCCCATATTGTGGGGGGATACCCTACTTAAAACTTGTTACTTTGCCCTATAGTCTAAGGGTTACTACTTACTACCCTTCTTTTTAACCTCCTTTTCTTCTTCTATAAATAAGTTTGATTGATCGATAATTATTTACAATATATTCATCATTACCTAAGCCGATTTCTAAATCCCTATAAAAACACATTAACTTTACAGTTTCAATATGGCTTATTTTAAAACCCCCTCTATGATATTAACTATGTTCTCGTTGTGTTCTATATTTAACTTAATCCAAGGAAGAATTTTAACATCGATGCCTTTGAATGAACCTTATAAAAACTCCCAAATTTCGATGCCACCTTCTCAAGCTCCAAATGTGAATAGCCCTAAGCCTCCTAGCTATTATAACATAGCTGCTAGTCCTGCTCTTTCACCTAGTTATGTTAACGATGGTAGTAGTAACAATACTATTGTTCAAGAGAATGTGTTTGATGTTCGTTCGTATGGGGCTATTGGGAATGGCTTAACAGACGATACATTAGCCTTCAAATCAGCTTGGGATGCTGCTTGTCAAGTAGACAATGCAAAGGTTGTTGCACCTCGAGGATTTTCCTTCATGCTTCAACCTTTGGTTTTCACTGGACCTTGCAAAAGCGCTGTTGTGTTTCAGGTAATTAATCAACTATTTCTAACTCTACAACATCTAGTAGCCAAGTTTATTTATTTGTTCATATACTACTAACATTCGAAACTTAATGTCATTTTGATGTGTAATTTGTTAGACTTATCGTGTGTATATATGATTTCTTTGCTCATGTGCTTGTACCTTGTATGAACGCATGGGCTACAGAATGGTCTTTGTTGTATCATGCAAAGTGCAACCTTCTCCATAAAAGTGGCCAAAAACTTACTAATGACGGAAAGGAAAAAAAAAAAGTTATCATACACCCTTTCTCGACATGTTCTTTGTTTTGGTTGTTGCCCCAATTTACAAGTATATACTTTATATTAGTATATTGCTTCAATATATATTATGGCGAAAAAGCAAAACGACCAATAGAATGTTTCTATAAGTAAACCTTTCTAAAAAGCTAAGAAAGGGGAAGAAAAGCTACTACTATAAGACAAACTTATAGTTAAGGTCCTAATTTAAGTCATAACTTTACATATAAAAAAATTATCCTCTAAGATTACATGGTCCTCTAAGTTATTGACCAACAGAGAAGGTGTATTGTACTATTTAATTAGTACTTTTATTAGTAGCTATACAATATATGGATTATGGAATGTGAGTAATTAATTTTTGTTTTAGAAAAACTTAAATATACTCGTAAATTCGTATTTATTAATTTATCTATATTATTGTGTAGCTTGAAGGAACAATAATGCCACCAGATGGACCAGAATCATGGCCTAAAAATAGTAGCAAAAGACAATGGCTAATCTTTTATAGAATACATGGATTAACACTCCAAGGTGGTGGTCTTATTGATGGAAGAGGAGATAAGTGGTGGAATCTCCCTTGTAAACCTCATAAGGTACTTAACTTTAATTAACATTCTTATTTAATTTTCTTTTTCATTTCTTTAATTAGTTATTTAATTAAGTAATACTTGATTGTATACACCTATCCTAAGCTTAACAAATTGTATTAATTTTTATAATTTCAATTGATGCAGGGAATCAATGGGACTACATTGCCTGGTCCTTGTGATAGTCCAGTGGTAAGTGATACTTTTTTGTTTGCCATTTTTTTTATTTCTTCTCTCTGAAACTTTGACATAATTTCACAAAACAACCCTTCATAATAGTTAAAATTAGGGAAATTTGTCTAGAATTACCCGGAAGATAGGCTCATTTGTGACCAATTACCCAATTTTTTTTATTTGTTTACAATTACCCGCAAGTTTGAAAACGTTTGAGTAGCACTACCCATTAACGTTTTCCATCCAAAAGACCATTAGTGGGCCCCACATTGTACACGTGTCATTTATTTATTGGATAAAAAAATTTAAAAAAAAAAGAAAAAAAGAAAAAAAAAAAACTCAGCCACCCCAACCACTGTGAAACCCTAGCCCCTACTCCCAGCCACCACCAAAAACCGGCCAGCCGCCACCCTAAATCTCCGAAACGGCCGGCCGGAACCCCCCGATCACCAATCAGCCGCCCACACCACCATCTCCAAACCTACCAGCCACCGCCACCCCCTTTCACTGCAGGTGACCCTAACCCAGGACCCACGAACCCTCCCCAACCACTGCCTCTCCTCCCTCTCTATCCTCTGACAACACCAAAACCCACCTTCCTTCCCCGAACACCCTATCCCCACTGCCCACCGGAACCCAGCAACCCCATTCCCCTCTCCACTGGAAAACCCACAGCCCACAACACCAAACAACCACCATCACCACCAGCCTAAACTCCAATCACCACCAATTTTTGTGAAGAACCCTAAAAAAATTTAATTGGGGTTTTTTTGTTTGGTGAAGCAATTCACAAAATTGCTTGCTCTAACTGATTGTATGTTGAATTGTGAACATTTGGTACAAGTTTAATAAAATTTGGTGAAGAAATGATGTTCCTCAAGCTTTCATGCGTGAGTTTCAATGGAGCTTCAATGGCGTTTTTGTGCGTTTGGGAAGAGGAGGGGAAGGGGAGGGGGGTCGGCATCGGCGGAGAAATGGCGGCGAGAGAGAAGGGGGTGGGGTTTCGGGGTGGTGGAGGCTGGTGGCTGGGGTTCCGGGACCGTCGGCGGCTGGGCTGGTGGCTGGGGTTTGGGGTTTGGTTTTTTTTTTTTTTTTTTTTTCCATTTGTTTATCCAATAAATAATTGACACGTGTACAATGTGGGGTCCACTAACGGTTTTTTGGATGGAAAATGTTAATGGGTAGTGCTACCCAAACTTTGTCAAACTTGTTGGTAGTTCTAAACAAATAAAATAAAAAAGGGGTAGTTGTTAACAAATGATCCTATCTTGCGGGTAGTTCTAGACAAAATTCCCTTAAAATTATAAATTATGCCATCTAAAAAATATGATTTTCGGACAGCCATTTCAAATATTATAACGAGAATTTCTAATAATTAATTTTGAACAAAGAGAGTATGTATTCATAATGAGGGTGTTAAATGTCTATGCATGTAAGTATAACCATAACAAATTACTTACAAAAATAACTGTTTTACAGGCCATAAGATTCTTTGGAAGCACAAATCTAACGTTGAGAGGGCTAAGAATCATAAATAGTCCACAATTCCATATTCGTGTAGATTCATGTCAAAATGTGAGTGTGGATTCTCTTGTCATTAAATCACCTGGTAACAGCCCTAACACTGATGGAATTCACATTGAGAATACAAAAGACGTCACCATTTACAATTCAGTCATCTCTAATGGTAATTTTTTTTACACCAAGTATTTGTTTTTGTTTGTTATAATCTATTTTCTTTAATCTTTCATTAATTATGACTTATGATGGTTTTTGTTTTTTGGCTAATTCAGGTGATGATTGTATATCTATTGGAGCTAATACTCATAATTTAGATATCAGGAATATTACGTGTGGTCCTAGTCATGGAATAAGGTACTATACCATAAATAATTTTTTAGTCTGGCAATATATATAATTTTTTAGAAAAAAATGTCATGTTCAATCAAAATAAGTTTTAATTTGTAAAAGAGAATATGACCTAATAAGTTTCAATTTTGTTTTATCATGTAGCATTGGTAGCCTAGGAGTCCATAATTCCAAGGCGTGTGTATCCAACATTACGGTTAGCAACTGCATGATCAAGCACTCCGACAACGGGGTCCGAATCAAGACATGGCAAGGCGGGTTCGGATCAGTAACCGGAGTGACCTTCGAAGCGATCCATATGGACACGGTCCGCAACCCAATTATTATAGACCAATACTATTGCCTCTCAACCAATTGCTCTAACCAAACTGCAGCTATTTCAATAAGTGAAATCTCCTATTCCAATATTAAGGGCACTTATGACCCAAGGACCCCTCCGGTCCACTTGGCTTGTAGCGATGCTGTTCCTTGCACCAACATCACGGTGTCGGGTTTGGAACTCTTACCCACGGCCACAGCCGCCATGACTATGGCAACGGGTCACAAGCGTAAGATGGAACCCTTTTGTTGGAATGCTTATGGGAGTAATGTAGGAGATTTGACTACTCCTCCTATTTATTGTTTGTTGGAGGGTTTGCCATATCTAGGCGTATCAGGTAGTGATGTTGGATATTGTTAGGCTAAGGGGTTAGTGTCGTATATTGTACATGAAAGTAAAGTCGTCTTAACAAGTGAGGATGTATTGAGTATGTATGTTTCTTTTCTAGCTTGTAACAAGGTGGAGAGGGAACGATTAACAGTTAGATTTCATACATAATTTTCTATGTATTGCTTTGCAATTGGCTGATAAGGTGGTATTATAACCTTACTACGAAGTATGTATCAATTTTCAACGTGGATGGTAAATCATGAATTATGTTTCATTCCAATGCATAGATGATAATATGATACGAGTAGATGTTATAACTGCATACTCCATAATTCCGTATTAGTAAATTGTTTGCCCCAACTGTAAATTTATATCCTATTTCCCTTCCTTAATCCTTAGAATGTATAGTGAGTAAAATAAAAGTGACTTTTGTTACGAATTGAGAGCGGCACATAGCACTCTTTTATTCCGTAATCACTTATTTTTCATTTCACGAACCAATCTCAACTTATTTTTTCATAAGGTTAATTGAACAGGGCTTATACAAGTACTTACTATTCTCTCATTATTGTAAGTATCCTATTTTTACTCTTTCAATAAACTCCACTTTCAACAAGCGTTTTATACATAAAGAAGAAAAAAAAAAAAAAGTAATTATGTGAAATCTTGTTAATACCGTCTTAATTTTATGGTGCAAATAAGAGGCTAGGCTCAAGAAAATAATTAGACGCAAAAGATTACACCTGTCACCTAAGAGATAAAACTTGGCATAGCCTCCCTTACAACATGAGTATGTAGAATATGACTTCAAGCTAAAATGGAGGCTTAAATCAACTCAATTTGTTATATTTGACTAACACGTGCTTAATCTCCACTTGCGACCATGGATTTGCAATTAATTTCTAGCAAAGTGTAATAATATGTACACATTCATCTCCATATGTATTTTAGCCTTCTAATACAATCACCACAACTTGGTTGTTCATTCTAACTTGAAGCTTTGATATACCCATCCTTTCAACTAGTTCTACCTCATATTAAATTTTGCTTTAGTCTTGAATTTAAAAGAGGATTAGGGATCAAGAATGAGAAAGTTGCTCAATCTCAATATATAGGACTCGAATATAATTTTTAATACATCATACGTAATATTTATCGATAATTAAAGATATTATTAACATGAAAAATTGAAAAAATAAATAAATAAAGAGGTTGAAACTAAGAAAGAGGAGGTTTACACACAATTCGCAACTCACCGTCACCAGTCTCTCTCCTCTTATCTCCTCTCGACTCTCCACCGAAATTGGCCACGATTGTCATTCAAGTCTTGTTCCCTACTACGTGGAACTCGTCTGTTGGGAAATAACCGAAAATTTTTATACCACTGATTTGATTCCCGTTTATTTTTTTTCCTTAGGTAATCAATTTTTTGTCTCTTTCCCTTATTTTTCCCAATCATTTTGTATTCATTTTCATCTGGGTTTATCTATTAGTTGATCGAGTGCTAATTTTCTGTTCTAATTTCTGGGTTTTTCATGTTTTAGTGAAGTTTTCCATCATTTTTGTATTCATGTTTATCTGGGTTTAGTAATTTGATTCTCCTGAATAAAACCCAGAATATAAATTAAGTTTTTAGTAGCTATGATTGTGTTAATTTGCGATGATAAATTCTGGATTTTTCATGTTTTTGGTTTTCTGAAGAATTATGGGTTTTCTTTTTATTCAATTTGAACGTTTGATTGTTTACTACTAATATCTTATCTCTATCTGTAATATTTATTAAAAAGTTTTGACCTTGATCAAATTATACTTGCTTATACAGTACATACAATAAAGTAATAATTTTTAATTTTAATTTTGGGGAATTTTTTTTTTACACTGACTTGTATGATGCAGATGAACTGGAGAGTTGTGGAGAGCTACAATCAGATATTTGACAGTCAATTATTGTTCTGCTTATGTAATTACTTTCATGATTTTGGGGATTTTGTGACCGTATATGATGATAGGTTTGTGAGGGGGTAAGTGGATGGAAGAATTGGACATAGGTGTTGGATAGGTTACCCAATTGCTTGATGTACAAACAAATTCTCGGTGTATTTGGGATTTTAATGAAGTTGAGACTGATTTGGGTGTTTTAGGTAAGAAAATAGGAAGCATGAATATTGATGAGTTTATTAAAAGTGATTGGAACCCTGAAATCCATCAAGCTGTCGGTATAGAAGGAAGAAATAATGGTTCATCGATTAAGTCGTTACAAGGTCAGGGAAGCCTACGTTTGTCAAGGACTGTTAGTGAGAAGATTGTTGATGAGGTGTGGAGAGAGATACAACAAGAGGATAGGATCAAAGGCGGTAGTCAGGGAGTAAAGAGAGAGCCTTCAATGGGTGAAATGACTTTAGAAGCCTTCTTGGCTAAAGCGGAAGCCATGGATGTAACTGCTTTAAGTCCTGTGATGCCTATGCCTGTAGACATGGATGATACTACACAATGTTTCTCACAGCAAATGGGTTTATCTCCAGCTCCTTCGATTGACACAATATCTGATACACCAATTCAAGGGCCGGAAAGGATTTCCTCAAATCCAATGGAGAGGGGCATTGAAAAGAGACTGAAGAGGAAAATTAAAAACAGGGAATCTGCTGCTCGTTCTCGTGCCAGAAAACAGGTTAATCTATTTTATTGTTGTTCTGTTTAGAAGTATGTAATTCCATTCTGCCAATCTTAATGAACCTTCACTTTCTTGTTTCTGTATGTATGCTCAGGCATATCATAATGAGCTGGTCAGCAAGGTTTCACTGCTTGAGGAGAAAAACATGAGGCTTAAGAAAGAGAAGGTGATTATAGTTCTTGTACTTTTAACTCTTCTAGTTTTGTATTGCCATTGGCCTCGTTGTCTTATGTCCGGTTATGGGTGGTTTCTATGCTTTCTATATCTTTTTTGCATAAGTTATTTCAACTTGTAATTTATTTTATTTATTAGAGTTGTGTTTGATGGCTGCAATTTATGTCTGTCAAGGTAGTAGCTTTTGTTGTGCAGGATTCATGCCCAAATTTATAGTATGATATTATGATAGTGTAATAGACTAGGATATTCAGATTATAAGTTCTATTGAACAAGAAACTTAAAGATTAAAGTTTGAGTCTTTGATTGATAATGGCAGAAATATGGATACAAAAGTGATAGGTTAATAGCTTGAGGCTATTACTCTCACGATAACTTTAGGTTATCACTCTCTTAGTACCTTGAGGTTACCATTCTCTCTCATTCCACATTACAAACCTCATGCCTTCTACTGCTATACTACTACTCCTTATATAATCAAGCAAGCTACAGTAGAGAACAAGGATACCCTAAATATTAATTAACTTTGTCACTATTCCACAGAGTATCAGACCAGCAGGCTTTTGTTACTCCTCCCCTTAGTGTTTCATTGATGAGTTTTGTCCAATAGGCTTCTTTCCCTTTATATGATTGCGTAACTAGTCAATAATGTGTTCCCAACTGAAATTTACAAAAGGGATCTTGTGGCATACACAATCACACGTATGACCGTCCAGAGGTCACAGACCCCTCATTGAAATTAGAAAGATGATTTTGGTCCATCACCTGTTTCTTGCACAACATACAAATACTTGACTTCAGCTGAATCCCCATCTTGAGCAATTTGTCCTAAATTGGCAGTTTTGTTAACTATAAACCCAACTCTTCTGATTTAGAAGATAGAAACCTTGTAATTTTGGTCCAGGTCATGTATCACAAGTACATAGTGACATAGAAGGCTAATATACACGAATTTATTGAATTATGGGGAGTGGTGACATACCTAATCCTGTTCTTTGAATAAACCTCTTGTGGTTCCTTTTTGGGGTGAAGGCTTGCATTGAATTCAGGCAAGATCATTTGAGATAAGTGTATAGATGATTGTGGGTCCTATTGTAATGAGGGAACTGATTTTTGTTCCTTTTAGGGGTGTTTTGATGGTGATGATTGCCCAGTCTAAGTGAAGCTAGGATAACTCATGTCTTAGAGATGTCTGTATAATTGATGGTTTTTTAGTGATTCATTAAGATGTTGAGATGTTCAGTCTTTACTTGGGGGTTCTGTTCTGTTCAGATTCAGTAGAAAGTTCTGTCATTGCTGGCAAGTGACAAACTCGACAACCTCAAGTCTCAATAAGTGGTAAGGATGTAATATTTAGCTAATTTAGTGGGTTTTTTTGGTGGTGTCTCTTTGGTTATATGAAGGTTGATAAGCAAGAAAAGAACCTCCTTGGGAAAAATGTGGGTTTAGACTTATCTGGTGAAAAAGAATAATTCAAAATATGTGATGAAGATTTGCTTGAAAAAAAGTAGTGGAATAGAAAATTTTGATATTTTGGAGTTGGCTACCCATTATGAGGGTGGTCTTTAGTAGGGTTTCCTAAGCAACAACACATTACATTTGGAGTTGGTTGTCAGGCTAATTGCTTCTTAGAGACCATGGGTGCAATGGATGCATTTGAACCTGTCAAAGGAATGTTTGATCTTGGGTCAAGGTTGTGTTTCTAGGTGAAGGCTACAAGTGTAGATGTGGAGAGGTGAGTTTTCTTGTTTGGCAATTGGGTTGCTGTTTGGAGGGAAAATTAGGTAGGAGATATGTCTGTGAGGGAAATACTTCTATTCTCTTGCCTCTCTTTAGTTTCATCTTATATACAAGAATTATGATTTGATTGAGTTGTGAGACACCTTTTGAGGAGTGTGAAGCATGAAGATGGACTTTCTTGGTGAATAGCGAGTGAACAAGATGAAGGCTTAGTGAGTGGATTGTACCATTGCTGGAGATTGTTTTTGTTCTAAATCCCGAGGAACATGTGGCATTGAGGATGGTGCTTTAAGCAATTGCTTGTCTTCTTGGGAGCTCCCTTTTAAGGACTTGTGTCTATTGCACCTTTAGTTGGATTTGGTGTGTTGATCGAAAGCGTAATGAGGTTAGTTCATAGACTGATGGTGTATATGGTATGTGGTTGTGGCAGGGGTAGGGGTAGGAAGGGGGAAGACTGAGAATTGAGGATGGTGGATTTGGTGGTGAATGTGGCTATAGCAAAGTATGAACTGAGAGAAGGGGAGTGAATATTATTATCACTGGTTCTAAAGGTACTCTTGAGAACTTAAGATTATTTTGAGTTTAACAATAGTTAAAGCTATTTTGAGATGACTATAGATAATGTGTAGCATTATTTTTATGTTTTTTATTGTTATGTTCTTCCTTTTATTTTTTTAGTCCTTATTTTTCTGCTTAGCTTGTACGCTACTACAGGTGGACTGTGATAGTGTGCATCGGGCACATGACATTGCTAATTCGTGTTGACATTCTTGTATTTCTTTTTCTTTTATTATGTATTTTGTGTTTAGTTGTTGTCAAAAAAGTAGGGTTAAGGCTTGGCTTTACTGTGATTGGTTTTGATTAATTGTTTAATACTCACATGGAACGCTAAATTATTGCTTTGCATGATGCTCCATATCAATCTATTAGGAAGTGTGTTTATAACATTTGTCCAGCCGAATGGTCTTAGTGGATGGTATATTTCAAAATGCTTCACTAGAATCATCTCCCCCCCCCCCCCCCACCCCCACAAGATAACTCTTTCTTTGTATCTTCTAAAAGAAGAACAGTAATGGATTTGGGCCACAAAAAAAAAAAAAAAAAAAAAAAAAAAAAAAAAAAAAAAAACCAAACCTGTGTGACAAATCTACAGAACTTTGAAACCTTGGTATAGTATCTTTTGATGATAATGCTGAAAGCAAACATTTTGTTCCTGCTTTGGAACTCTTCATGATTATGTGTATGGGTAATCCTTTTATCAGAAAGGCTCCCCATGGCTAAGGATGCTAATATTTCTAAGTGTAAGCTTAGATAAGAAATCTGATTTGAGCATGATCGCTTTGATGCTATCTTCCAATGATTTCTAAAACCTTGAGCAATTGCTATAATATTCTTCCCTTGAATTCATGAAATCATAATTGAAGTATAGTCCAATTGTTCAGATTGGTTCGTTTGGGTGTAATTATGTAGGAACAAAATGAGACTTTATTTTTCCTCAATACAAAAAAGGGACTTTATTGTCAACTTTGTTAAGATCCCAGTATTGGTTGCTTGATTTTGGAAGCTAACATGTTACCTTTTCTATTCTGGTAATATTCTTGTGTAGGGAATTCAATTTATAGAGAACTATGTTGTTTGCCTTTGACGTTAGTTATGTCATGAGGCTATTTGATGAAACAGGTTTGATTTTGCTTTCTTTTTATGTATTTAGGACTTAATATTCTTTATGTTTCAGACATTCACTTTCGTCTTTCCGATTTTATACAGCTTGTAGCAACCATATGCTCCTCCTTCCTTCTCTTCTCTTTGTCAGTGCTCTTTCCGTTTCAGAGTTCTGATAGTTTGACTTCCATTGCAGGAACTGGAGAGCCGTTTGTCTGAAGTATCAAATGAACCAAGGTATCAGCTAAGGAGAACCAGCTCAGCCGTTTTTTAATGAGTCTGTAAAGATTTTGTAGGTTAGGCCTGTGGCGCTTTCAGTTTTTATGTACCGTTAATGTTGCAATCACTGTTATCACATTATTGCTAGGATTACTTTTGTCCCCATGAAATCACTCTGTATGTCTTGTTAGACAATCTTGCTTCTTCCTGATTAATTCTAGCTTAGGTTTCCTCCAAAAAAAAAAAAAAAAAAAAAAAAAAAAAAAAAATGAGAACTTTGATTTCTGGCTCTGTGTAATTATGAATTTTTATATTTTTAATAAAAAATATAGTAATGTGATATTTTGTTATAATCTTCTTAATATGTAGTATACTTTTAAAATACAAATATTAACTTTTACAACTTTTATTTATTCAGAATTAAACATGCTTGTATTAATGATAGAAATCATGCATTAACACATGTGAACATAAAAACGATGCAATTAAATAAAAACCGAGGAATTGGTTGTTGGTTTGACATTCTAATTCATTGGAAGTCTAATTTGCTAGGAAGTAAAATTTGGAGAGATTGATTGTTGACATGAGCATAAGAAATTTCCTAGTAAGTTCTACTTCCTACAAAATGTGAGAAGTGCTTACCTAGGCCCCTCAAGATAAGTTAAACTTCCTGAAATTGGAAAACAAATTTTCATGATCCAACAATATTACCTAGAAATTGCAAATACAAGGAAAGTGTAACTTCTCCAGTGCAACCAAACAACCATAAGTATCACATATATAGTCCATAATGGAAATACAAAAGCGGGAACATAGAACAGGAACATGTTCAAACATAACACATACAGAAACTAGTAGCAATGGAAATTTATAAAGTGCATAATTCATCAATTTCTCCTGCGACTTTGTCTTTATCTCCTTGCTCAAGTAGTAAATAGTGATGCCTACTACAGACCCTATTACCTCTGCAAATTCATCAATTTCTCCTGCGACTTTGTCTTGATCTCCTTGCTCTTGGCTTCGGTCGCCTCCTTCCAAAAGTTTCCGTAAACCAGTCATGATGCCTATCAGCTATGTAGATTTTCCCAATGATAAAACCTACAATAAACCCGCTTGCACAACCCAAAGATCGAATTATCCAGTCAATCAACTTCGAGTCCTCTTCTATCACTGCTGGCGGTGGTTGTTGAGGAGAGTCTGTGTTTTCACACTTCTCCGACAATGGAAATCCACATAGTGCTAAGTTCCCATCAAAAGAGCTATTATCAAAGGTGTTGAATTGTTCTCCTTGAGGTATCCGTCCCTCGAGACGATTGTGAGAGACATTGAAGACCGCAAGAAATGTTAACTCGGTTAACTGTTGTGGGATCTCTCCTGAGAGCATGTTTTGAGAAAGATCTAATGCCTCAAGGTCTATAATATTTGCAAAAGATGATGGGATACCTCCATGAAGTTGATTGTTGGATAAGTTAAGTGCCTGAAGTCCTCTTAGGTTTCCAAGAAGAACCGGAATTCCTCCGGTGAAGCTATTGCTTGAAAAATCAATCACTCGAAACACGGTCAATATCTTCGAGTATACTGTTTCACTGCCTTTATTGCTGATGGTGATTATATAGGAGTAAGGTTGATGCAATGTAATAAATATATTTGAACCACTCCTAATATGGATCTCAATTTCAGAGCTAGATGAATTCAACTGAGCTTCGCTTGTAACTTTCATCGAAAGCCAGTTTCGAAGGTATGTGTAAGGTAAATTACCAGTATGAAAATTATTAGATAGGTCAATTATTCTTAAGCTACTAAAATGATCACCAGGTTCCGGAGATGGTATCCTACCATGAAAATTGTTATGCCTCAAGACAAGAATACTCAACTTGGGAATACCTCCTAACCATGATGGGAAAGTGTCATTAAGATGATTTTTTCCAACATCAAGTACTTCAAGCATTCGACAATTGGACAATGACTTTGGTAACAGTCCCTTCAATTGATTTTCGCTTAAGTTAATCATCTTCAATTTACAAGCCCTTGTGAATGTTTGAGGAATGGCGCCTTGAAGACGATTGCCACGCAAATTCAAGACTTGCAGAGAATTACCTAGATGAGTACCAATACAAGTTTGGATCCCACCACTGAAGTTATTCATGGACAAATCTAAGTATGCAAGAGAACTAGCGTTGCAGATTTGCTTCGGGATGTCTCCAGACAACTGATTTCCAGAGGCATGGTAAACTAGCAAGGACTTTGAAGGAATTAGAAGTCGGCCTTGGAACATATTTCCCTGAATATACAATGCCCCCAAATTATTCCATGGGAGGAAGACTTGAGGTGGCTGTTCAAAGCCTGTTAAAAAGTTGTCACTAAGGTCGAGTTCTGATAGACTGTCTAAGGTTCTGTTCACAAACCATTGTGGTATGGTGCCCACAATGTTGTTTTGTTTGAAGGATAGGAACATTAGATTATCCTGATGATGCAGGAACTGTGGAAATTCTGTTAAGTTGCATGATTGAAGTTCCAGGACAGAAAACTTGGGAAGGGATGAATTGGTTCTTGCATTAGGAAAGAATCTAAGGTTAATATCAGACAAATATAACATATTTAGATATGGAAGTTTCAGTAAGGTGTCAAACATGGCAACTGAGCCATTGGAAGACAATAAGAGTGCTTTAAGATTAATCAGCTGAGAAAACGACGGTGGTATCACTGGACCTTGAAACTGATTACCAAGTAGATCTAAGTAGTTTAACTTTGTTAGATTTGCTAGCCAAACTGGAAATGGACCTGATAGTGGGTTTGAATTAAGATCCAACCAATTGAGTTGAGTAAGGTTTGCTAGAGCAGGTGGGATTTCACCCCATAAACCCGTATTGTGAAGTGCTAGGTGCTCCAGTTTACTGAGCTTAATAAACCAGGAGTTTAATATTTAAGGATAAATCTTAAAACTAAGATCCGAGAGGGTCAAGCTTGTGAGCTTTGTCAAGTTAACTAATGAGGATGGGATTTGTCCGGTGAAACCAGTCTTCCAGATGGTTAACTCAGTCAAGCTGCCAAGATTACCAACGGAATGGGGTAATTCCCCAGAAAATGATGTACTGCTAAAATCTAAAATTTGAAGAGAGCTATTAGACGAAAATTCTGGAAGAAATCCTTCTAGGTTGATGTTGCCACTCAAATGGACAAGTTCAAGCTTTGGCAACAGTAAAATACCTGGTGGAAATCTACCATATAGATTGCACTCAGAAAGGGAGAGAGATTTTAGAGAGGTCAGGTTGGTTAAACTAACAGGCACAGGATATGATATATCAACAAAATTAAGATAGAGTCGGGTTAAATGAGTTAAATTACTAACCAACTTCTGAAAACTCAAACCATGCTGAAATTCCAATTTGGAGCCACTTACAGCCGATAGGGAAAGATCAAGAATCGAGAGGCTGGATAATTTCAAAATCCCCATTGGAATATGGCCACTGAAATCGGATGAAGAAAGATTGAGCTTTGTTAGTTTGGAAAGGCGCTCAATGGCAGATGGGATTTGAGAAAAGTTGAAGTCATTATCAGACAGATCAAGCACTTGGAGATGATCAAGGCTAAAGAGAGTGCTATTTTGAGGAAATGTGCCGTAAAGGCAGCTGCTACTGAGGTTGAGACTAATCACATGACCTGTCTCCTTGTTACACTTGACACCGTCCCACCTACAACAATCACCAGTACGAAAGCTAGTTCCGCTTTTCACTTGATCATCAAATGATTCATTCAGCCATGTTCTGACCTTTGGATGTGCAAAGGCCGATTTAGATGCAGAACAAGTAATGAGAAAGCTTTGCTTGAACTGAAGCAAGGCTAAGTTCTCTTGATGATGGCATAACTGCTTCGGATATTGCAACGAAGCAGAAACAGAATTGTTAGCAAGAGCCATATTACTAGAATCAAGAGAAAGTAATGATGAAACTAAGAAAATCAAAAAGCATATTGCAGACCACCAAGAAGCCATGGTGTGATCTCTAAAAAAAGTAGATTGTTTGAGTGAGCAGCGAATGCTATGGAACTAGACTTTTTATACTAATCAACATTCTATGAGAACATAAGCACAAGGAGTCATTTGTCAAAAAAAAAAAAAGCACAAGAAGACTACGCCACTCACTAGTCTACCACATGGGGTAGAAAAATAAGCACAAACCAAGACTTCTTGCCCATCTCAAGTCTATTTCCACATCCATATATTCCACAGAATTTTATTTATTTTTTCTTTTTTTGGAGGGCAACTATATCTATATACTTCCTCTGTTATGCTATTATTGCACATTGTAGAGCTCAAACCACAAAGTGTTGATTCGGCTCATTAACAACCCTATCCACAGCCCACTCAATCACATGAGTAATTACACTTGTGTTCATGGTATAATAATGTTCATTATAAGTCATGTAGGCAAGTAGGAACGTAGGATACACATATGCATATCTTATTAGCATCCATGGAGTTAATTCGTTGAGAAGTCTGTGCAAGCAGAAGCAACAAACAAGGACAGTCATGCACACATCACCTGATCGAGATACCATCACACACCTAGAAAATTTGTTTTGAATGGTAGAAAGTAGAAGCAACCTATAAAGTCCTGGCTAATTTGGTTAGAAATCTTCACCAAGAGTCCACGATTTACACAAATCATTCATCATAGACTTCTTAGTACAGTAACACCAACCACGCACTTGCAGTAGATATATATTGCTGTTAACAGTCAATAAATATTAGAATAATTGGGGTAAGAAATAGTTAAGAACTGGAAAATTATGGCCAGATAGATTGAGACACATCAAATGATCAGTAATTCAAAGAAGGTTTTCTTCTCCAACTCCAATACAAGGAAAATCCTAGATAATGGAAAGAATTGGAAAATTAATGGAAGCTTCTCTATCCCTCCCCTCCGTTCCTTCCCCTTCTTTACTTTCCTCCCTTCCCTTTCCCTTCATTAATGCTATCCAAATATAGTGTAAAAGACCCTTAATGGTAGCTAGGTCATTCTATAATTACCTAAAGGTATCATCAGAAATTTACAATCAACAAAGTCTAGATTACAAGGAAGTGAAGCCCGGATGACCATAGACAAATTACAAACAATTATCTATAAACCAATCAAATTTGCACAAATTTTAATGTAAAGAATATGGAAGCATGAACATACACGTGGCTACTATGTAGAGTACAATTATGCCTCAGAACTAAAGGAGCAATTGGGCAAGTTTTATATTAATAGCCCCTAGCCAGCAATATATTTCTTCTGATATGTATTTTTATACTTACAAGAATTACAACTGCAGAGCATCCTTAATCCAGATGCAGTTCGCATTTCCTACATGACAGAGAATAAAGAATATGTTCCCCAAATCCAACAACCACCATGTTTTGTGTGATAGAACAAGAAACTGGATCAACTAGAGGCCCAGCAAGTTATAGTCAAAGCAGAATCATTTAGCCATTTTTCAAAAGCCAATTTTTTACTGACTAAAATAGAAGAATAAAAACAATGATCCAAGGACCAGCAGGAAATGTAACAAAGCGAGATGCCAGCAAGCCAACATTAGCTTAACAAGGGAAAGTTAAAAACTTTAAACAGAATCACATAAAAAACCAAGTAATTATAGAAAAGCTAAAACATGAAAATGTTAAGCCAGAGTACTTACCATTTGTCTAAGGCTCTACCCAACTCCTCAGTTGATCTTGTGATTGAAGATAAGAATGGAAGATCACCACAGTTATAGAACATTACCAGAAACTTTGATCATCATAATCCAAAATCTCTCATGATTCGCAATCATCTTATTTTCAACTTCAAGTCATTCTAGGAACTTCTGAAGCAGGCCCTTAGACGAAACACTTAGCTTATCAGAAGACAAGAGATCAACAAATAATGAGATAGTGTGTGCATCAGCTTGAAAACCTTTGCTAACCATAAGATCACGATAGTATAAGGCCTTGGAAAAGTCATTATTGAGAATATATCCTCTTATGATAGTATTGTAGGTGATATCATTGGGTAAACAACCATCTTCCTCCATTTTTCTCAGTACTTCATCAGCTTCTTTCATTAATCCCTCCTTGCAGAATCCTTTAGTCATGATATTGTATGTCTTAGAATCAGGCTGTAGACCCTTAGATTGAAGATCACTGAAGAAAATTACTGCGTCTTCAAGTTGCCCAACCTCACATAAGTTGTCCATTAAGATATTGTAAGTAACAGTAGTAGGCTTAATACCTTTATCGTCCATATCTTCAAGTATTGCAACTGCCTCATCAAGCTGTGCACTTTTGCACAAGCCATCAAGCAATGAATTATACGTGACAACATTAGGAGTAACTCCGTAAGCTTGCATATCTGTGAACAACTGGTGTGCAGGTTTAAGTCTATTGGATTTACACAAGCCATCAATAAGAGTTGAATAGGTTACAACATCTGGTGTTATCCCTTTCTCAAACATATTTTCTAATATAGTAAGAGCCTTGTCAATGTCTTTGAGTTTGACATAACCATTGATTATAGTACTGAAACTGATAAGATTAGGCTCGCAATCTTTTTGTTTCATGAGGTGAAGTAGCTTTTCCGCATCTTCCATCTGACCACGCAAACAATAACCATCGAGTAAAGCATTGTAAGTAATAATGTTTGGAGCCACACCTTTGTCAGTCATGCACTGCAATATGGCTTGTGCTTCCTCAACATTACCATCTTTACAAAACATGTCAACCAGAATGCTGTAGGTGTCAACAGTTGGTACTATGTTGCTCTTTAACATCTCAGTCAACACATGCTTAGCCTCTTTTCCACATCCAGAATTATAGAGGCCTCGAATCAAGGAGTTATAAGTGATAACATTTGGTTTAATGCCCTCCGTTTTCATAGTGGAAAACAGGTTCAGAGCCTCTCGCAACAGCCTATCTTTACAAAGACTATCAATAATTGTACTGTATATGACAAGGTTAGGCTTACAATGACAAGAAGATTGCAATTTGTTAAGCAAATTGAGAGCACCGGCGTTGTCGCCGATCCTACAAAGCCCTTTAACCATAACACCACAGGTAACAATGTCAGGTTGGAAACCTAACTTAACAGTCTTATCCAACAATTGAACAGCTTGAGGGAGCTTATCACTAATGATAAAGCCATTGATTAATGTGTTAAAGAAAATATGATCAGGAGGATAACCAAGCTTAAGGCTTTTACCCAGAAGAGAAAACCCGAAATCAACGCGACCCAAATGGGAGTAAGAATTGGCAAGCATACCCAACGAATGCCTATCAGATCGAATACCCAGTAATTCAAGCTGCCTGAAGAAAGATACAATGGTGGAATGACGATGAAGGTGTTTCAATTTGGAAATGGCAGTGAATAGCTGACTGAAAACAACGATAGAAGGAAGAGGACGCAAAGAGGTCAATTGATTGAAGAGAGAATGTGGAAGTTTGAGATCGGAAAACCCTAATTTGCATTGTTCTTTAACAGAATTGAGAAATAGTTTACGATCATCAATTGCAATAATTGTTTTACTGGAAAAATGTCGTGAAAAATAAAAATGAGAGATGAAATTGAAAGGGAAATTAATACAAGGAAGAACAAGAGTTGAAGATTTACCAATGGAAGCAGAATATCTGAAATTAGGAGTAATCTTCATTTCTTGAGTATTGCAAGTTCCAACTGATTTGCCTTCTAACAGAAAAACACCATTAATGGAGACAGGAAGGTAAATATGGTGTTATAAGCCGCGGCAGCTTTGCAAGTAATCGTCATCGTCATCCCTGTTTTTCTACTTCTCTTGATTTTCTGATTTTTGTTTTAAGAATTACTTCACAATCCGCATTAGAAGATGAGGAAATACAAGTTCATCAAACACATAAACCTAGCCTTGGGTGGGTTCGACCCACCTGTTCCGCAACTCCGAGTACATTCGTGAATGTGTTCAAGACGGAGAATTATACTAAAATATCGTTGTATTGTAAAGTGGGTTAATCGTGGGTCTTGGTAAGTACCTGACAAACTCAAGGCTTGGAACTTAACTCAGGGCAGCCTTATTGCAGTTCCTTCCCCTCAAGGGGGGGCTTCCGGGGGGTAATGGTCTGATAATAGGGGTTACTTTATTAGTGTAATAGAGGTTATTTGGTTGGTGTTAAAGGAATTACCTCATCAGTATTATAAGGTTACTTAGTCAGTGTTTTAGAGGTTACTCGATCAGGAGTTATTTGGTCAAGGGTTACTTTATATTTTTTATATAAATGGTCACACGGTGTAACCAACCACACACAAAACGGGTTGAAAGTTTTGTTTATTAAGGGTTGCGGATGTCTTTTCCTGAGTTTAGTAACTTTAGTTGGGGGTAGGCAAATAAATTCACACGTATTTGTTGTTGGAGACCAATCGGGGAAATGTTAAAAGTAATTAAATAACTTCTATAGTTCTTGTCTATTATTAATAGTGTACTTTCAAATGGTAGCTTCAAGGTGGAAAATTAATTGAAGTAGTAGCTTTAATAGGGACATGTTCACCCTTACTCTTTAAGGTTGACTACGCCCTGAATTTCACATTGTTGATGGAGACGAAGAACATGATGTTAGCGGAAGGTGAAGAAGAAGAAGAAGGTGTTAGCAAAGGTAGGAGGAGGAAGGTGGGTAGGGATAAAAAAGATGAAAGCTTAACTATGTTCATATATTTACTTTAAATGTAACAAAAAGCAAACGACATTAAAAAGCCATCAACAGACGCCTCTTAAGTTCTACAAAGATACTTGTTCCACTTAAGTTCGATAAAACGGTAGAATGAATATTAAGTGAAAAAATGAACACAATAACCAAGGCAACAATTCAAAAGAATGTCAAAACCAAGGCTTATTAGATGGGGTAGCCTTCTAAACAATTCCCAGCCAATTTGAAATACTCTTAATTGTAGGCGAGGTTGCAAAGAAATCTAATACTTGTATAGTACTCCCTTCAATTCCAAAAGGTCACATTTAATGTTTTTACACGGTTAACAAAGAATCCTATATCCTATATTTCTATCCTATATATAAAGAGTGAAAGGGGAGTTTTTGGTGATAAATTTCAAAAAAAATAAAAAAAATAGACTATGTTCACCAAAATCCAACAACCTGCATTGTTTGCGTGACAGAACCAGAAACTGGATAAACTCAAAGCCCAGCAAATTAAAAAGATAATAATCAAAGCAGAATCACATAGCCATTTTTCAAAGCCAATTTTCTGACTAAAATAGAAGGACCTAAAGAATAATCTCAAGGATCAGCAGGAAACATTACAAAGCAAGATGCCAGCAGGCCAACATTAGCTTAGCAAGGGCAAGTTAAAACAGAATCACATAAGAAAACAAGTAATTATAGAAAAACAAAAACATGAAAACGTTAAGCCAGAGCACATACCGTTTGTCTAAGGCCCTACCCAACTCCTCAGGCCATCTTGTGATTGAAGACAATGGAGGAACAACTACTCTGGTATGAACATTATAAATTTATTAATATAAATAGAGCAGAAATATAAATTGTCATAGATCCAAAATCTCTCGTGATTCGCAATCATCTTATTTTCAAGAAGTCATTCTAGGAACTTCTGAAGCAGACCCTTAGACGAAACATTTAACTTATCAGAAGATAAGAGGTCAACAAATAATGTGAAAGTGTCTGCATTAGCTTCAAACCCCTTGCTTAACATAAGATCATGATAGTATAATGCTTTTGTGAAGTCATTACTGAGAATATATCCTCTGATGACCATATTATAGGTGATAGCATTTGGTAAACAACTATCTTCCTCCATTTTCCTCAACACTTCATCAGCTTCTTTCATTAATCCCTTCTTGCAAAAGCCTTTAACTAATATATTGTATGTCCTAATACTAGGCTGCAGACCCTTTAACACAAGATCAGAGAAGAATTTTGCTGCATCTTCAAGTTGCCCAGCCTCACACAAGCTGTCCATTAGGATATTGTAAGTGACAATATCAGGCCTAATACCTTTATCCTCCATATCTTCAAGTAATGCCACTGCCTCATCAAGCCGTTTACATTTACATAGGCCAAAATCTGAGACTTGTAGGCCTATGTATACTCTTGGTCAATGTTACTCCGTGTGATTCTAATTGCTACATTTGAATTAATACTGAGAACAAAATTGGTACAATAATTGCTGGGATCAAGACAACCCACTTTGCTAGGAGGATGGCATCGCGCAGCAGAAATCTGTCAAAGAACAAACATATCTGTTCACATGATGTGTTCTGAAACTTCTAATTGAAATCTGTTAGTCTGTAGGCTCGAAGGTTACTGTCCTGGTGCGCTGTAAACTTACTGAAGGTCAAGCTCTTATTCTGTGTTAGACAGAGTTTTCCTGAGTCAAAAAAGTATGGTATAATTGATGAATGTAAGGTATACAAATATACAAGTATTGTGTACATATACAATCCTATCCTAAATTGAAAAAATCAATAAGCTGAAAACCAATGCCAATAAGATGTTTAACTTCTGGAGCCAATGGAAGATGTTTTCACCAATTTTGATTATCCCAGCTCCAAAATCTCCTCATGGTTGCAAACTTGCAATACCTGAAGCAGGCAATTGGACTAATAACTCGAGTTACCATAACACAGGAGATCATCAAATAATGAGGAAGTGTGTGCATCAGCTTTGAATCCTTTGCTAACCATAAGATCACGATAGTATAATGCCTTTGACAAGCCGTGACTGAGAATATAGCCTCTGATGATTGTATTATAGGTAATATCATCAGGGAAACAACGGTCTTCCTCCATTTTCCTCAATAAATCATCAGCTTCATTCATTAATCCTTTCTTGCAGAAGCCTTTAATCATTATATTGTATGTTATACAATCAGGCTGTAGACCCTTTGACAGAAGATGACAGAAGATATTTTCAGCATCTTTAACGCGTCCAGATTCACAGAAGATGTCAATTAAGATATTGTACACAACAGTATTAGGCTTGACACCATTAACCTCCATATTTTCGAGCAATGCTACTGCCTCATCAAGCCGGCCACTTCTGCATAGGCCACCAAGCAATGAAGCATACGTGAAAACATCTGAAGCAACTCCACGAGCTTGCATTTCCAAGAGCAACTGCCGTGCAAGTGGGAGTTTATCAGCTTTGCACATTCCATCAATAAGAGTATTATAGGTAACAACATTTGGTGTCATCCCTTTCCGATACATTTCCTGGAATATGTTTACAGCCTTGTCAATGAAATTAAGTTTGATATATCCATTAATCACAGTATTAAAACTGACAACATTAGGCTCACAACTATTCTTAGCCATGAAAAGCTTTTTCGCATCATTCATCTGACCACGCAAACAATAACCGTTAAGAAAAGCATTGTAAGTAATGATATTCGGAGCCTCGCCACTATCAATCATGAGCCGAAGAACAGCATGTGCTTCATCAACACTCCCGTCTTTACAAAACACATCAACCAACAGATTGTAAGTCTCAACAGTTGGTGCAATGTTGTCCTCCAACATCTCATTCAACATAAGCTTAGCCTCATCCCGGTATCCACAATGGTACAAACCTCGAATCAACGAGTTATAAACGATAACATCAGGTTGAATGCCCTCGTTTTTCATAGCAGAAAACAAGTTCAGAGCCTCTTGTAACATCATATCTTTACAGAGACTATCAATTACAGTACTGTATATAACAAGGTTCGGCATACAACGCCCTCCAGACTGCATTCTCTCAAGCAAATCAAGAGCACCGGCATTGTCGCCGATCCTACAAAGCCCTTTGAATATAGCACCATAGGTGACAATGTCCGGTTCGAAACCTAACCCGACAATTTTATCCAACAATTGAGCAGCTAGTGGGAGCTTATCATTATTGATATAGCCATTGATTAAGGTGGTAAGGGTAACACAATCGGGCGGATACCCGACTTTAATTTGTTTACCAAGGAGAGAAAACCCGAAATCGATACGACCCAAATGGCAGTAAGAATTGGCAAGAATACCCAATGAATGCCTATCGGGTCGAATACCACAAAAATGGAGGTGGGCGAAGAGAGAGATAATGATGGAATGTGGTTGAAGGTGCTTCAGTTTAACAATGGCGGCGAAAAGCTGATTGAAACGTAAGATTGAAGGAAGAGGACGAACAGAGGTCATTTGGTGAAAAAGGGAAAGGGGGAAATTGAGATTTGAAAACCCTAATTTGCATTGTTTTTGAACTGAATTGAGAAATACATTACGGTCGTTAATTGAAGAGGAAAATTGGGAATAATTTCTGGAAAATAAAGGGATTTCAAACAAAAAGATTAATGGAGTAGGATTACAATTAAACTTCATTCCTAATTTTTTTCACCTTTTCTCTCGCTTCTTCATTTGACGCATTGTTGTGGACTGTGGTCGGCTGTGGAGGGCTTGCTCCAGCTGCTTCTAGTGTTAACTGATATTGTATCTGAGCATAGCTAATACGGAGTACCATAGTTTGTTTGAACTTATCCAAACTGATTGCTAATACGAAGTACAATAGCTTATTTGAACTTATCTAAACTGATTGCTAATATTGTTTTGTTTAAACATGTCCTTAATGTGTCCGATTTCAAAATACTTTGTGACTTGTATTTGGCATTTTGGTCGTACTCGTAATGCTCCGTGATAAGTAAAGGTGTGCATCGTGCCAGGCCGTGCCGCTGCGGGCCGTGCCTGGCGGACCACGGACTCCAGCGAGCCGTGTCGTGCCGTGCCACCGTGTTGGAGGAGGCGTGTCGTGCCGTGCCACCCAAATTCGCAGGCCAGCCCACGGCACGGCCCACGTGCTAAGCGGGCTCGTGTCGGGCTGGCCTGGCGTGCTGTCCTTTCCTCTTTTCTTTTTTTATTATTTATTAATAGTTTATAACTTATAATCTTATATTATTATTTTTCTAAAATAAATTAAGTTTAATATTTATATTTTATTATTTTTAATATTTAATATTTATATTTATATATTTAGTTTATACTATTACTTTATAGTTTAATGTTTATAATTTATTATATTTATTTTTGTATTATTAATTATTAATTATTATAATTTTTTTTTTGTTATATTAATTTATAAATTATAACTTAACGGAAAAAAAGGCAAATTGAATTTTGGATGTGAATAATGCATACTTCATAGTATTATTACTTGAAAAAAATTGTACAATGATAATAATGATAAAAATCGTACAAGGATATTAAACAAAAATTGGATAATGATAAAAATTGTACAATATACAAAAATTGTCTATTCTTCTTCTTCTTCTTGGTCGTCTTCGTCTTCGTCTTCGGCTTCAAGGTCGTCGGCTAGTTGCATAGATTGGGAACTAGCCGAACCCGAACGGTCGGAAGCGGAGGTTCCTTCATCGTTGTCGTTGCCGTCGTAAGAACGGTCTTGTGAGCGATTTTTCGCATCCAACCAATCTTTGAAACACACACACATTTCAAGTGTTTCGGGTTTTAGACTTGTTCTTCTATCGTCTAAAACCCTCCCGGATACGCTGAAAGCTCGTTCGGAGGCAACAGAGGAGAGTTGGATACCAAGAATGTCTCGTGCCATTGCTGCCAAATTTTGATGCTTCGTGCTTTGTTGTTTCCACCATGCAAGGAGGTCGAGGTTGTTTATCTCATCGTCGTCCATGCCCTTGGTGAAGTCGTAACTCATGTACATTTGCAACTCCGAGACATCGCTTTGCGTTCTCCTTATTGATGAATCACCTGAAAACCTTGAAATCAAGTTAGTAGCTTGTGAAAATAAATGTTTGGCCTTCTTAATTACGTTTTTGGATGGTTAGGAAGGGGCTGAGCGAGGAACGGTGCCATATTTGGTTTCATAGACTCTATATAAAGCAAAAAACTGATCCTTCACATTAGTCTTATAGGTATCTACATCATCGTCAAGAAGCATGCATTGAAAGTAAATGTCAACTAACATAAATGTATTTTCATACTTTTGCCTATGATCTAATCTGGAAGCAAAAATATAAATCAAAAGAATTTCACTATGATATTTACGCCACTTTGTTTCCATTGCTGGAAGATACTGATCATAATCACTTTGGTTGCGATAATCAGCGAAAAGTTAGGCGAGTAAACATGCATTTGAAAGAAAGTTTTGAGCTAAACAGAAGAAAAACAATACGTCATGTTATATAATAACTGTAAAAATTGCATATATCATTCACATTTATCCCAATCATCCTCATATATAGCATTGTTTGGAAATTTTTGGTTGAAAAAAATTGCCAAAGGATTCTTGTACTCAATTGCCTTGGTTAACATGTCATAGGTGGAATTCCACCTAGTTGGGCAATAGGTTTTGATTTTTATTGCTCTTATCTTTTGATGTCTTAGAAAACTCTTCCATTCTTGGTATCTCATGTTTGAGCTATTAATAGACATAATAGCATCTCTAATTTTGGTGTAGTATGGACCAATTGCTCTAATTCCATCCTGTACACACAAGTTAAGAACATGACAAACACATCTAGTATGGAGTGCGTCACCATCTAATATTATATCGGTCAAGTTTTGTTTGACAAAATTAGCAGTATATGTCATTGAAGTTGCATTGTCAAATGTCATAGACATGATTTTTTCTCGAATGTTGTATTCATTTATTGCTTTCATTAAATGGTGAGCAATGTTAATACCGGTGTGGGGGTATTCCAGCATTTTGAAATGGATTATTCGTTTTTGTAACAACCATTGATCATCTACCCAATGGCAAGTCACACATAAATAGTGATATTTATAATCACTATCCCAAGAATCGGCAGTCAAAGACACTCTACAATTAAGTTTACTCAATTCGTCTTGTAACCACATTTTGTACTCTAGGAAATTTTTCATGGCAGCGGAACGAACGGTTTTCCTAGAGATTCTTTTATGTTGGGGTTGTAATGCTTTGTTAATGTAAGTGTTAAATGGGTCACTTCAGAGAAAAGAAAAGGTTGTTCGGCGTATACTATCATTTTCCCTAGTTCATCCCTATCCCTCTCATAGTTGTAGGTAAAGCCGTGTGGATGGAATTTGGAAATTTTTGGCTGGGTTGGATCACTAGCTGGTTTTGCACAACTTCTCATGTGTCTACTTAAGTGTCCTGTCCCGGATTTGGATTGTGCCGAGTATGTATGACCACATGTTTTTCATTTTGCTCTTGTTTGGTCTTTATTTAGGAGGATATAACGTCATACATCACTTTTGCGGCTTTTGATATGTACCATCTCACTTTCGGTTAACCATTCCTCATGTGTGTTTGGGAATTGGGTGTTTGTAGAATCGGGGATTTGTTGGTTAGTAGTAGAACCGGAGGCATTTAGGGTATTTTGTTGGCTACCTTGGCTAGAATAAAAACTTTGTGGGTCAAAGAAATTAGGTGGGAATTGACCAAATTGTGGAAATTGGTTTGGTGGTGGAAATCCGGGCATATTATTCATGTTATAGGGTTGAAAACCAAAAGTACCATCGTACCTAAATTGGTCAAAGCCTAGGGGGACGTTACCGGGGTCATTGGTTGGAATGGACGGACTCGAAATTTGGGGGCTCGTTGGATTAGGTGATTCCCTAAAACTACTACCACGGACAAGTCGGGCTTTCCCCCTAGATGATGGGTTGTTCGATGCCATAATTAACAATAATAATTTTAATAATAACTAATTAACAATAATAATAATTAATAACAACAATTTTAACAATAATAATAATTAATAACAACAATTATAACAATAACAATAACAATAACAATAATTAATAACAATAATGCAATAATAACAATAACAACAATAATAAATTAAAGATTAGTTTAGATCTTATAACCGTGCTTCAACGCTTTCCACTAATTACGATTACGAACTTTTAATTGTTTTTCGATATTAAGAAATAATATCTAGAGAATTAAAGAGAATTATTAGATATTAGAGAACATAAGAGATTAAGGATTATTAGAGAATATAAGAGATTATGAGAAGAGATTGTGAATTTGTGATTTGGAAAGTAAATGAAATTTGGTATTTATAGGGATTTTGGGAAAGAATGGTGGAAAATATGGTCATTTTATGGCCGTTGGCAACGACATTATAGCCGTTTATGGCCGTTGGTACGCGGGCCAGCACGGCAGGCCAAGAGGCGGGCTCATGCCGGGCCGTGTCGGAAAAACCGACTTCTTGTCCGTGGCACGGCCCACGGCACGCCCGGCGACCATCGTGCCTGGCCGAGCCAGCTGGCGGGCTGCCCGCGGGCCAACCCGGCCCGTGCCCAACTTTAGTACTGATAACTAAGGGCATTGCAATATGTTATAGGTTACGAGTACCTCTTTTGATTTAAGGTAGCTCAAATTTAGAAATTCTTTACTTTATTTATCGATGAAACTAGTTTCTTGACCCGAGCTTTGCCCCAGGTGAATATATTTTAACTTATTAATATTTTACTTTAAAAAAAAAAAACACTCCAAAATTTTATAATTTAGTGAATAAGATATAAATATCAATCTTGCGGGTCGTGAGATCAAATTTGAAAAGAAACCACATATATAAATTATTTTTTTCTCTCTTTTTTTTTTCAAGGACTAAATTCTCCATATTATAATAATTATTATCATTATTTGCAAGTTCATGTTTTTTTTGGTTGGTAAGGAAAAAGGTCCCACCAGACCAGAATCTCTCACAAGTTCTCCCGACCAAGGATAGCGGGATAGACACTTTGGAAATGGGGGGTAGGTTAAGAGAACCCCCACCCCCAAAATGCCTCTAGTGGGATTTGATTCCACAACCTTTTAACCTCTTGGCTGTGACTTGTAAGATACAACCAAGCTTGGCTTAGTCAAGTTCATGTTATTCAGAATCAAGTTCATGTTATTGAATGTTAAGATATGATGGAAATTGTGATAAGAATTGAGGTTATACGAAGTAGGCTTTTTTCAAGGGGGTTAACAAAATCTAATTAAAGGTTTGAAAGCTTGTGATTTAAAGTCTGGAAGATGACACTTAATTAGCTTGTTGGCTAATCTAATTAATTAGCAACAAGTACGAATATAAGGTAGTCATTATAGACACTATCCATGAAACAGATCATTTAATAAATTAATCCTATAATCAAAGATATAATCTAGATTTTCCTTCAAAAAAAAAAGATATAATCTTGATTTTGATATTTGTTGCTAATTTATTAGCTTAATCAAGTCCAGTTATCGCCTCATAATAATATCAACTATTATAATAATGCTCAAAACATCCGTAGTTTGAGTTTATTATTATTAAGTTGCTTTCCATAAGTCAATGGTGAAGAAGTTGAGTGTGGGACTGTTAAACTTAGTACTTATCATTAATACCATTGAAAAGTATTAGTAGAAAAGCTGTCTTCAACTCCTGGAATCAAGTGGAGTTTTTAAGACTTTTCCTGATTATCTATGGTCAAATTCAAAGCAAATTGCATATATACTACTGAAATTTTTGGAATACTATTGATAGAAAAGAGAGCCCAAGATGTAATTAGCAACTTAAGACGGTTTCCTCCAGCATGTGACAAACATGCCTCCATTCTCCTGCACTCTGAATACAAAGCCAACAATACAAACTCACACAAGCACTGGACAAGACGCGAGTTGCTAGCTAGAGTGCTACGGCAAGGATGCAAGTACCTCCAATAGGGAAGCTACAAACTGCATCTGGGTTTCCTCGTTTATAGTAGAGAAAAGGGGCACATGTACAAATAGGGACTTTGTCCCGTTTTGCTCTGCGAACCAGAGTGAATGGTAGTAGACATAGTTACACACGAAGCGGCCTGCATCATCGGATGTCATCACCTCGTAACCTTTCTTCGTCAAAACCGATGTAATCTCCTCAACAGGGAGTGAAGTCTGGATAAAAAAAAAAAAAAAAAATGACTTTTAAACAATGGAAAATTGAAGTGCTATCAATAAAACATGAAAAAAAAAAATGCATGAAGGGAAACTTAGTTTCAAGATTTTAGAGCCTCGTAGTATACTATTTGTATTACTTAGCTAACTTTTCTTGTACCACAGGACAATTATATGTTCATCAAAAACACCAATTCACTAGTTAGTTAAAAGTACCAATGAAATGATAACGACTTCCTACAATCATTCCATTATTTTTTTACAAAAAAGGAAAAAGAAAAAGATACAACTACAATCCTACATACATGACTTAAACGGAATGGAGGAGTAATAGATAAAATTGGCAACATGTGATCCCAATCGGACAACAACTTAAAACGAAATATCAACACACAAGTTTCCCTACCATTCTATTAGAATAGAACTCAGAGAAAGAATTATAGGAGAAAATAGCTGTTGCCTCTCAAACTGCACAAGCACACTTACACACCTTGCCGGCAAATTAAAGCTCAAAAGTAGAGGAAAAATCCATTACTCACTAACAGGGTGCATTGAAGCAAAGGTTGATGGTCTAGCACAATTATTTTAGCAATTTATTGATGATGTCCTTCACAAATATTTTGCTGGACCAAGCGAATTTACTTATCAGGTTATTAATACCTATATTATGATGGGCAGGTACTTTTAAATACACGTCCTGGGCATTTCCAGAGGACAAGAGTTTCCAGTAGTACTCCATCACCAACCTCACTTTTTAAAGAAATTAGTGTTCATATAGCGAATAGTCTATTGTGAGAGAGAACTTGTAAATCAGAGAGAAGATAGTTTTTCAAGAGATAATTAACACAAGCTGGAGAGCTGTTTTCCAAACAAGAAAACCTGTTTGGGAGACTTGAACACGGACGTCCACTTTTCATTCTCGTTGAAGATATTGTTTAGTTTTCGGCATCTGAACATGCCTTCAGGTTCTTTAATTCCTTGAATTTTTATCAGTCTTTCACCTAATAATTGCATGGAGCAATTATAATATTACTAGTATAATTTATACTTACTACAGAGTATGTTAAATAATGAAAACTGTTTTAGGATGCTGACCTACCAGGTTGCATTTTGGGCATCCCGGAAAATTCATACAATTAGAAGATATTATCAGTAAAATGATATGCTAAATAATATAACCATTGAGATGAACACCCCCCCCCCCTCTCCCTCCCTCCTCGTCAGTGTGCTTGAAAATTCCAAACTAGTGAAAACATAAACAACATAGCAGAATATCCCAACTTCCAGAAACAGAATCCAATCATTCAGATACTAGGTAAACAACATTCATCATATCATCACAAAGATCGCTTTTGACACTCAAATAAACTGTAATATAAGTGGTTTAATATTATCCAGTATTCATCTTAAGGTGGTTTTCAGCACTAAACAAAAAAAGGAGAGTGTTTGAGCACATGGAAATGAATGGATAAGAAAAGTGCCAAATTACCTTTCTTGTTCTAGTGATCTCTCCATCTACAGGAATAATCTGGACTTTCTGCAAGTGAATAGAGAGATTTAGACACCGGAGAAAACGTGAAAAGCTTAAACAGAGGAGGATAACAAGAGGAAATCCATATAACCTGAGGTTTCCATCCCATTTCATCAGGGCAGCGAAAAGTGGCTTCGTTCACAGCCTGATTCTCAATGGCAAATCGTGTAGCGCCACTATTAACTCCTAAATGCAACTGCAGTAAACAAATAAAAATACATCAAAACATTATAACGCACCATTAAAGACTTTATACAAGGACCCTTTCTCTTAAGGGGGGAACGGGGAGGGGTACTAGGGGGTTGGAGAATTTTGCGAGGTTTACATTTGGATAGATTTTTCTACAAGAATAAACTCGCCACAATAAGTAGGTAATGCAGCTATACATCAGGAGTTATAAACTGATCCTAGGTCCTAGGATGGTTTGGTTCTCATTCTTGCAGGCTGTATAATGTCTCATTGTATGGTCTAACCAGAGTAACCTCCAACATTAATCCAGCTTCCAAGTTTTATAATGAGGCGGGAGTATTTACCAATACTAGAGGGAACAGATCATTTGTATAAAAAATAGACAAGTGACATTCAGATTCATTTCATAACAAGAGAACCTACTTCAAACAACAGATTATATTGCCAAAGATAAAGCTACTTTCTTTCACTTCTACCCACATAGGCCATACGTAGCTTTTTGTGACAATCTAACGCAAAAATCACATTATAGAATCAGAGATTGAGCAGAGCCAGGTAACATTATTCTCATAAGAAGCATAACGTTAATCCTCTTATCCCAAGTACAGAAACCTTTTTTTATATAGCGTTTTATAGCTGCCGCTAAAAACATAACAGGAACCTAAAATTGACAAATTTTCACCATTTCTTGGATTCTAATGGGTCTGTATCACTATCTAAGCATTCCATGATCATACCATAAAACTTCTTCGATAAGTGAAGGCTAATAGGGTACTCAAAGTATGATGGTCCACGTATCGTATAGGCAGAACAAAAGTGCACAAGTCAGACACTCCAAGTTGACAGAATCAACGGCTTTTAGAAAAGTCTTGTTTTAGCTTTAATTACAACAGATCCCAGAAAGGGAAAGAAGAGGACTTGAAACAACTATTCTGCATCAAAGGTTTTTTGAAAAAACATGTAGAAGTAAGCAAAGAGGAACTGACCCAAATAACTTTCCCTGAATTAGGCAATTCTGAATCATTCTCGTTAATTGCAGATTGCAGCGTCTGATGAAGAGGAACAACTGCCCCATGTCCTGCAGTCTCAAGAATATTGCAGCTTCCTAGAGCCAACCCTTTTGGCAAACCCTTCTTCTCCATGTACTCTTTCAGATTACGCACAATCGTCTCAGTTGGATTTTCGGCAACTCCATGGAACTTCTTAAAACCCGTCACATGAACTGTTACTGGCGATGGTGCAGGACCTTCTGAACCCATGATTTAACAATCCAGATACTATGTACCACCAATATATGAACTTAAATTATCAATAGCCTGCATCAGAAGACAGTAATAGACCAACTTGAGAACAACAACCAGCAAACTATAGGAATAAGAATACTATTTCAGAACAACATTAACACCATCTATACACTAGTTACTAGGAGTAATAAATATCAGCGATTAAAATCTTAAGAACATGTTTGTATACTGCAAAAATTATAAATTATAAAAAGTACAGTCTGAGAATGGATTCAACATCTCCCATCCTTAAGAGGGATGTTTTAAATTTAAAATAAATTACAGCGAAGCCTATATAGTTAAAATTCAACGGAAATACTCTATATACACGAAGTGTGAACGTAGTCATATCATCATGAAAAGTTATACAAAGTAAACTCAGGAAAAAATGACTCAAATAGCCTGAACTCTAAAACCTAGAAATTGCAAGAAATTGACTTACTTAAAAGGTAGAAACCTAAGAGATACTCTAAAACACAACTAAGAATTTTTCTGTCTCATCAAATTTAAGCTTCAAATATAAGCTTCAAACTAAACCCAATATAAAGTGCCTGAGAAACTTCAGAGTTTTGAAGTGAAAGAAACGTGACCTTAGAAGTTAAAACAAACCAGTTATCACTCTCATAAGCACGATAATCATGCCGCAAAAACTGCTGATTATCTGATAAACAACTAATTAAGTGTAACGGAATTTAATTAAACAAAAACTCTTAATAATTTACCACAAAAATTATGTCAAAGTTTGAAACTTTGATCCGTAATTTGATAAATACCCACTAATCATACCAATTAATAATCCTAAAACCCCACAAAAATTAAGAAATTGAAGCCAAAAACAAAATGAACCCAGGATTAACAAACGAATTAATTCAACAAAAAGATCAAAAACCCAGAAATCAAACCTGAAAAAAAAACTTGAAATTGAAACAAATGACTGAAAAATTAAACAAGAAAGATGAGAACTTTGAATACCTGTATATAGAATTATAGAAGGAACAATAATGAAGAGAAAAGGGGATAAAATATGGGTTAATAATAATTGAGACAACTACCAATCTTATCTGGTTTTTCTTTGATTAATACTCGGTATTGAAAGATTCCAAGTAGAGAAAAATTAAATGAATCGGGGAATAATAATTATATACAACTACAAAACGTGGTTGATTGGCGATTAGATGATGATGTTGATGAGAGTTGTAGTGGAAGGTCACTTTCTTTCTGTGTGCCCTTCTTAGAAAGTTTTTTCTAATTACTAGTAGTTGTGCGAGATTAACTATATTGGACCAACATTATATTTAAATTATTATAAAGTTTCCAAGTACACCTAGAGTGATTAATGTAATCAAAGGTTTAAGGGAAAATATTTAATTATTTTTTGCTCATTGAATGATTAAGCAAGGATACTTATTAGCTCTATCTATTTTGTATTTATAAAATACGAAATAGATAGTATTAATTAATTAATATATAGGGGATGTTTCTAGAGCGGAGTCGAAGTGGGATTTTAGCAAAAAATTATGTGCTAAATGTTACGAATTTGTATTTTGGGTTTAAGGGTCACATTGTTTGTCATTATACGATTTGTACCAAATAAAAACAAAACGAATAAAGGAACAATTTTTTTGTTTTGGGTTGGATTCGTCTAGTAAAAAAATTCAATGGGTATCATAATCTGGTAAGTGTAAGCTGTGTAGCTGAATTAGGAATACTACTGCTTTGATTTTGGTGAAGGGTAGGTATGAGTCCTCATCTTTGTTGGGACCAATTTCTCATTTTGATGAAATTTGCAATCCCATAATTGAGACATTTTAGCCGATAACCGATAACGTACTCCGTATATGATAAAGGTTTAGAAGATTCGGGGGTGACATTTATTGAACATTTGTCTTTTATGTCTTCTCATGAATCAATAGATAACATATCTTGATACGATGATATTGAATTTAATTGATTTCATGCGTTAAATTCTTCAATATCAACTTAATGATTCGTAAAGTCATTTACCAATTTTATATGGAGTAAAATATACAATCAAGTTATAAAGGCATAAAGTAATATTCGTCGATGACAAATGTACTACGTGAAAAATGAAGATAGGTATGTCTTAATTACTTTCTCGATATCAACTCAATAATACTCGTGTCCGATACCCCATTTTAGTAACTTTAAATCATATTAATTATTTAATAAACATGGAGAAATATATATCATTATTACGTAAGGAGTTAAAAAAAATTATATCGATCAATGATTTTTAAATATCCTTACATTATTGTATATTAATGCGACATGGAATTTTTCATCTTCTTAAAATGAGTAACCTTATAATAACATATGAAATATGTCTAATTAGGATAAGAAACAGTGAGTTACTATTGATGAAACCGAACCTCTTATAAAACAAGCAATAAGATGACCAATTTGTAGGTTTGATCTATTACTTTTCCATTTAACAATAGCAAGTTGGCGAAGGTTGTTAACTTGCTACATTTAATAATTAACTAGTGTGCAAACCATATCAATTTGCATGATTTTTATTCCATGGAATCAGCCGTATCACAAATGCATAAAGTTAGTTACAACTACATACTCCCTTCATCTCACTAGCTAAATTCGTTACCCATTTATATTGGTTTTCTTATAATATCTAATACACAGTTTTGATCATTAATATTCTTAATTATGTATTTGATCAGACATAACTAACATTCTTAAAGTACTTGTTCAAAAGTATCAAATAACATTCTATTTAATTAAATTATAATATTTATATAATAACAATATTTAGTCATAAATTTAATATTATATATATAAAAAAAAAAAAAAAAAAAAAAAAAAAAAAAAAAGCTCCAAAAGTGTAGCTATATTGAAACGGAATGAGTAGTAAGTATATAACATCACCTATATAAGGTAGGGGCAAGTTACATGCACTCATATATAGTAGCCATTAATTTATGCCCCACTACTAATTATTTTATATATATTCATGCATGTATCGTCAATCTATCATCACCATTGTTACCTTTACCAACATGAATCATTATGGTACTAATTAAAGGTTATTCAAAATAATTGAAGTTGTCCATTTCAAGTGTAAAATTATTTGCATCTAGAATGTATTGGACACCGTCCTCTATTTTTTATGCTTTATCTAATGATTCTAATCTATTTGTATGCTTTTAAAATGTTGTTATGTCTTAACGAAAGATGATTTAATGTTTTATGTAAAATCTATATCATTAATTGTCAAGTCAAATTAATAACATAGTCTAACGTAAATATGAGGTGGTCTCACCTGTATTTTTCATAAAAGTAGGGCTCTACCAATTATATATCTAAGTCTCTTTCAATATCAATTTGTCAACATTATAAATCGATTTGTAGGTCAGATATATAAACCTAGAACGCATAATTGAATAGTATACCACCCTAGCTTAATTTCCACGTAATTTTGGCCATACAACATATTAAGTAGGCACTGATTTTTTTTGGTGAATGATTTGCAAAACAGCTAGGATTCATGATTCCATCTGGAAGCAATGAATTTCAATGCATGCTCACGTGTCACTCTTTTAAAATGATTGGGGTATGTTTACCTCACAAAATCACAAACACCTTTGAAATTTGAATATTTGATTAAAGGCTTAATTTTTATTTTTCAAATATAAAAATGAAAAAAATATAAAATTACTTGTCCAAACAGGATAAATGTTACGAGTATAACCCGGTCAAATGGTCAAAAGTACACATATCATCTACATGTATATGTAAAATTGACAATGATTTATTGAGAAAAACTGCGTATCGTAGGAGATCAAATTTGCTTATTGAATTGTGTTAGAAAATAATATTGGGGATGAAGAATTAGGGACGTGTTTACACTGTTCTTAAAACAATTTTAATCCCCATTATGATTGTTGTGGGTTACCTGTTAATATACTTTCAGGGTTTTCCCTAAGTTCGAGATCAATTAAAGCAATGTAATTGAACTCCCTAACAACACTCAAAGAACAATTAGAATAGAAAAGGAAGAAGAAGATAAAAAGTGAAAACTAAGTTATAATTTTGGAGCCATTAAAATATAATGAACAACCTTTTTAATCCCAGAGTCACTATTTTTAAAAAATAATTAATTAAGATAATCTAACTTTTAATGAATAGTCACTATTATCCTAATCAATTTAACGCTTACACTCGACCGATCGGGCCAAGCCTGCCCGGTCGGGCAAATAAACAGGCATATCTTTTAACTAGGCTCGCTCCCGATCGAGGCATCATACTTCAGAAAATAAATTGCTCTCGCGCCCGACCGGGCTAACTTAGCCCTATCGGGCGAGCAAATATTATATTTCTAAGTATATGTTCGCGCCCGACTAGGCAAAGCCCGCTCGATTCAGCCCGTGGTCATAAACCATACCACACGTTAAAATTTGGGATTTGTTAAACATCGCCCGCAAATTACTATATAAAGCCCACAAATATAACTTGTTTTGACTCTCTTGCCCTTTTCATTCTAAAAAAAAAAAAACACTCTCTACTTCTCTCTAAAAAAAATCAGAAAATCTACCTCTCTTAAAAAAATTAATTACGACAATGTCGCGGCGGCAAGGGAAAGAGGTGGCGGCGGCGACGGCGGAGGAAAGGCGGCGACCTGGTGGCAAGGTAATTTTTTTATTATTTTTTTTTTTTAAAAAAAAAAAAAAAAAAAAGACGGTGGCGGCATGCGGTGGCGTCAGCTCCGGCCACCAAAGCCGGTGGGGTGGCGTCTGGCTTGGAAGCCCAGCCACCGGCGCAGGCGTCCAAACCAGAAGCCAGCCCATTGGCTGTGGCGTCCAGATCTGGCGCCTGTGCCAGTGGGTGGGCTTCTGGTTTGGACGCCTGCCCACTGGCTATGGCTGCCGGAGCTGGCGCCACCGCCAGTGGGTGGGCGTCCTGGCCAGGCGCCCAACCCCCCTTTAATTTATTTTTATTTTTATTTTTTTTTTGTTTTTGTTTTTTTTTTTGTTTTTGTTTTTTCTGATTTTTTTTTGGTTTTTTTTTTATTTTGCAAAATCAGAAATTTAGTTTTATGTTTAATTTTTAATAAATCGTGTATTTTTTTTTAGTTTTGCAAAATTAGGAATTTGGTTTTGCAAAATCAGAAATTTGGTTTTTTTTAATAAATCGTGTATACTTTTTTTTTATAAAATCAGTTTTTTTTTTTTTTGTGGTTAAATTTTTTTTTTTTTATGTTTGATGTTTAGGGTTTAGGGTTTAGGGTAGTATGTGGTAATTGATGTAGTATGTGGTAATTGATGTAGTATGTGGTAATTGTTTGTGTTAATGTGTAATTGTTTTTTTTATTTAAAATGTGTAATACATTAGGGTATTATATGTGTATTTGTGTATGTGTAATATATTTGTTTTTTATTTTTTATGGTTAGTTATTTGAAATAATTTTTATTTTTATTTTTTATGGTTAGTTATTATGTGTGTATTTGTGTATGCCGTATAATATTTTTCTGTGTTTAGTTAGTTGAAATTTTTGTTTTGTGTCCTAATTAGTTGAAATAATTTGTTAAATTTTTTGTAGAATTCACTGGGTCGTCATGGTGCGGGGAAGAATGTAGAGCTTCTTAGTAGAACCTATTCAGTGGAGAGGTCGGGGCATAGACATGTTAGATCCCGAGGTATTTCGGCCTCGGCTCGTAGAGAACGGATCCACCGGCGGGATGAGGATGACGATGACGATGATGATGATGATGCTGAGGAGGGTGACCAGGAGGAGGAGCAGGAGGAGGGCGCATATGAGGATGAGGATGTGGACGATGGGAGTGGACCATATGATGATTACGGTCCATTCAGTCAGAGGGTTGATGACATGTACGAGGCACATATGGTGGAGGTGCGTAAGGGTAGGGGTGGCAGGTTTGTTAGTAGATCTGGCACCTCATCTACGTCCACTGTATCTGGGGCAAGTAGGAAACGGTCGAGGGCCGTTAATGATTCTTGGGTTGTTAGGAGTGAATTGCCCGGTGGGCCTGTTGACGGGAGTGTGATTCCTAGCTTTCTAGGACACATAGCTGCCCGTATTTGGGAGGACCAGGAGAGGCCTTCAGTTACGGGGTTGTTGAAATGTCATACCCGGGAAAAGACTTGTAGCTTTTTGCGTACATGGGCTGAGGCTTGGCCGGCGGAGAGCGAGATGTTCGAGCGACTGGAGGGCACTGGGGTGAATCACGTTC